TAATTTTAATTAACGTAAATAAAATTAAAAAAAGAACCTGTGGAAAATACCCCTTCCCTTTCTAAGCACAGTACATCCAACAGTATGAATACCTCAGTGAAAGGGCTATCTATTTCGCCTAAAATGGCTTACATGCTTTGAATATTCAAAGCCAATTACAAACATTCGTTAATTAACATAGTAGAGCTTTTGAAGTTTGAATACAATTTGCGAGTATAATATGCACTGTAGAGTGCATTTTGCTTGTAATTAAAAGCTAAAACAGCATTGTCTACAAATATCATGAAAATGATCCGACCTCGCCTAACAGAAATGTGGAAAATAAACGATAGAAGTAAAAAGGTAATCAATTTGGCTACTACCTTCACAATATCTTATAATACATACTCGTACACTCGTATATATGTTATAGTTTATATTATAGTGGATCGATTTGAATATCTCTCAGTCAATCATCTGAAGTCACATAAAAAAGTTACTGGTCCTCGTACAAAAAAAGACCTTTTCTTAAACTGGTTAAAGTTTCCATCTTAGAATTTTTTCATACAAACATACAAAATATAAAACCCCTATCTCGTTGTTATCATCGTTATATAATATTATTAATTAAACGAAACCAAATTAGTACTGTTTTTAAATAATAACAAATAACATTTCGTCGCTCCCGTATTGTAGATTTACTATTTTGAGTATAATTTAATGTATGTCGTAGGTACATTGAAAAATATTTCAACTTGCATAAGTGCCTAATCATTAAAACAGCCATTATGTAAACTGACTCAAGCTTCCGCTTCATAACTCTATTTCATGTTGTTTAACGTTTATTGAGTAACATTACACGAGCATCCTTTTAAAGAGTAAACATTGCATGTAAACAATCTTTAATATCTATATAAATAATGATTACTTTGTATTAATTCATTGCATAGGTACTTACTTGCCTTACACCTGTTCACGTAACCAAGGAAATAAATGTTTAGCAAACACAAAGAAAAGTTTCACACTAAAAAATATGTTAACACTAGCGACTTCACTTCGGGTTCGTCCCTAGGCAAAAACAAACCTATCTCACAGGAACCGGATTTTTTTCCGGAATAATATATAGCCTATAGCCATCCTCAATAAAGGGACTGTCTAATGTAAAAAGAATTTTTCAAATCGGATTAGCAGTTCCTGAGATTAGTGCGTTCAAAAAAAAAACAAACAAACAAACAAATTCCGCCTCTTTATAATATCATATTAGTATAGATAACGTAAACATAAACATTAAAAACGAAATGTAAATATGTTAAAGTCACTTATAATTACCTAAATTATTTATCTGCCGAAACTAGATCTTTAAGAGGATTGTGAAGTGCCGATACGCGGCGAGAGTAGGTATTTTTAAAAATGCTATCTGTTTCATACCGCTTTGCATCCCCCCGGCAGTGAACAACACAAATACAACATACGCAAATTCTCACACACACTATGATAGCAGCAGCCGGTGACGCGCGGGCGCTTGCAGGGGCGGGGGCGGGGGCGGCGCGACTCGGCGCAAGAGCAATTTCAAAGTTTATCTAATATTTATTATTTTAACGGTTTGCGTACAATATACATTCCCTACAAGTTACATCGCACCTTTATTCATAAACTTAAATAACTCTAAATTACAATTCTGTGGCGAATATCATTTAAAATTTGACTTGTTTAGATTGATGACTTCAAAAAATCATAAAAAAATAAATAGGTGGTTTAGATCAATTACAAAAATCTCGTTCCAAAAGTTGAAAGTTATAGAATTTTTTGTTGTTTATGTAGGTACTAATAGACCCATCGGAATCCTTTTATTGTTAAAATAATTATTTTATTGAAAACCTGAAGTTTTATGATTTTATAATGTTAGCAGGTATATAAGGAATAGAAATTCATAAAATTACCTGATCATGAATGATGATGATTTACGATTTTTTAACATATCTATGACTAAATTTTATAAAATATATCAACTTAATTTTTTAAAATATATTTTTAACTAATGAATAAACAAGATTAGATTACGAATGATTTTCATTTCTTTCTGTAATTGCCCTAAAATCATTTTTTTCAGAAAAATCAATAAAATTAACTCCAAAAACTAATAAAATATCGATAATTTCGAAAAAATTATAACGAATAGTATGTGTGTATATATATATATATATATATATATATATATATATATATATATATATATATATATAATTATACACATACTATTCGTAATAATTTTCATAAAATTATAACGAATATAGAATTAAAAATATAAATTTTACAAAAATAAAAGTATTTTTATTGCTCCTTCTAAACGGTAATAGTCCAGCAATTAGCAAAAGAAAGCGCGTGACCGGTGGAGGGCGAGGGGTGGAGGGGTGTAGGAAGTGGTCCTTACTCATTCAAACTTGGCCAGATATAATGATGATGATGATATAGAAAATATTTTTATTTTTGTATGAAAATGAAAATTTAAGAAATATATTTTTTTTCTTGTTACAGAGGTTGTTGTTATGATGTAAATAGTATATTCCCAAAATTCTTCAGTAAATTAAAAATGACCCTGTATATATATATATATATATATATATATATATATATATATATATATATATATATATATATATATATATTTTCAGTTTTGTATTTTTTCTCAGAAATAAGATATTTTCCCGCGGTAATGCTATAATATGTTGATCCGGATAACCAGCTACCACCATACCAAATTTCATCAAAATCCCTCCAGTGGTTTTTCTGTGACGTGGTAACAGACAGACAGACATACAGACAGACAGACAAAAATTCAAAAAACTATAGGTTCGGCCTCTGTATCGATAATAATGTTTATTTCAATATTATTTTCCAAAAAATATTTAATGTACAGATACGGCTTAGTTACAATCTATACATACGAGTAAAATAAAATTCTAAACTTTGGATTGAATCCTTTCAGTATCGATCGATATATCGATATTACCTTCTCCTCCCTAGGAGATAATAATATCGATAGCACCTTCAACATCACTACAGTCTAAAATATGCCCCTGCCCCCGACCCGTATGGTGCGATAGAGAGAGTTGCAAGTCTTAGACTCAATTACCTACATTTCCTTTTTGAAATATTGTTTCGGGCGATAACGTTTTCACCCCCCTAAACATTAACGAAATGAGACGATTTTGGTCTCATTAGATTCAGTACACCTTAATCTAGGTCTGTACGTTTTCCTTTTTTTGTAATTCAGTTTAGTTTAATTTAAAAAAATAAAAACGCTGGAGGAAGTTTTTAGGTCAAAAATATAGATATTCAGATGCTAATAACTTCTGTCGTACGCAATATTTCAAAAAAATAAAAACGTACGGACCTAGATTTTGATTATATCTACAACATTCCAAAAATTATGAAAATTAGACTATGTTTAAGGGGGGAAAAACGTTATCGCTTTTTGTATGAAAATTTACAGGTTCACAATCCTCTTAATCAAATACAATTTTGTATTTAAATTTCCTTATGATGATATGATTCTGTGAACACTCAACTTTAATTCCAATTCCAATTATAATATAAAGCAATAGGTAAGGAAAAACATTTTAATTAAACCCAATTAATTAGAAACCAAAAAATTAAATAATTGAAACAAGGCAGGAGGGTCGTGAAAGGAAATGGCTATTAAAAAGCAATATCTAAGGCATTACAAGTGCAGCCTTGAAAAAAAAAGTCAAGGTAATCTCATATTTATTCATACGTGCAATAAGAATTATAATAGTATTCACTAATTTACCCTGTGGTCTATTGCACGAGGTTTTTGCTCCCCGGTCCCTGACAACCACGAAACCTGTTTTTTCGGAGAATGCCTTTCACCGAAGTTTTTTTCCAGACATCATACGAGAAAAAAATCGGTTCAAAGATTAATGAACTTAACGCAAGATATCATTTTACATATTCACATTGTAAAAAATATCATTTTGTTAGAATCCGGTAATAGATTATAGGAAATTGAAAAGGTGTTAATTTATGGAGCTTTTTCTTTTTGTTTCAGAAGCCTTTCAGAATAACAAGTAATATTTTAAATTACCATTCAATGTTACTTAATTCATAAAAACAAGCTCAACTTAAGTACACTATTTATTATTTAAGTATTTTTTTGATATTTTTAATGTCACACTGCACAAGCCTCCCTTCGATGCGACGGGGATCTACCACGCTGCGTAAATGTTGTGGACTTCACACGCCTTTCAAGAACTAGATTCTTTCGGACATGTAGGTTTTCTCATAATGTTTTTTATCACCTTTATACGTAATCATGTTAATGGCACATGAGAATATCATAAATGCAGGACTTGGGTTTTGAATCCGCTTCAGTTAGTTTTCGAAGCGAGCGCTTATTTTAACGCTGGGCTACCACGGCCTATATTGTTTAAGATACAAAAAAAATATTAGCATCGAAATAGTATCGAGTATACATTTAAATTCGATATTAAAGTTTAAAAATCAAGATTCAAGCATTTCAGTTAAAAATAACAATTTCTATCCACCACTGCGTTAAACATTGCCAAGACGATCCGTACAGTAATAACTGTGCAAACTCTCAACATTGAGAATAATTGATCGCCGAATAATATCAAGGACATTCGCGCGATAAACGCTATTTTAGATTCTTATACTCTCCACTTGCGGCACAAACACACAAAATTGTATGGATAATTCATAAGTATTTTGGATTTCTAAATTTTTTTGAAACGAATATATTTAAAGCTCTTTGTATTATACTCCACTATCCATTAAATGTGTGAAAGAGAACAAACAACGAAAATATACTTTGCATTTAAAATATTAAATAAGAATTAATCCAAATTACTTTATAACTAACAAAACTAATAATTTACATGGAGGAGATGAATGGAAATTTTCTTTAGATTTAGAATCATGTAAATCAGTCCACATTTGTCGAAGATATCGCGTAATATATACTCGTATTTATAATAATAATAATGTCCTCCGGACCGATTCCGGCCACGGCGGCCAATCTCATTGAGACTAGCCAACTGCTCTGTAGATATAATAGTATTAGTGCAGCGCGTGTGTCGGTGTGCGCGCAAACACAAGTGCACTCTCTATTCCTGTCACTCTCAACTTCGGTGGGACGACACGAGACACGACCGGTGAGAGTTAAGGCGCAGGCCCGATGGTTTTTACGTGCTCTCCGAGGCATGAGGGCGAAACGCGGGCTTTTACTGAGGCTTACTATAATACAGAAGGACTCAATAACTAAACTTAGCCCGACCCGGGGCTCGACCCAGCATCTCCAGGTACGCCAGCCGTACATGCTAACCTCTACACCACCGAGGCAGTTAGGTGACTCGTATTTACACAAAAGAATCAAAATTCAGCCGAAGTTATTACCTCCTTAAATATAAAGTAGGTTATAAGGACATTGCCTTATCACTAATTATAAAAAAAAACATAAAGTAATTTAGAATGAAATAAACGGAAACAAGTAAGTGGATACTGCTGAACCTGTTATTTAATATTGCTATCATAAATCAAATTAATATCAACTAAACTAGAATAAAATAGAACTTTTTTAACAGTAAAAGCTCTCTCATAAAAGCGCTAAAGTTTCTAAAGCTAAAAAACTTCACTAAATAATTACTTGTAATCATTACATTATTATTTCTAAACTAGCAATAAATATGCAAATTCATATCATCAAATGCATTTTACAATATATCTCGAAGGACAATAGCGTAATAAATGCTATTTTTGTTTCGGCTAATTCAGCTTAGCATTGTAGATTTGTTATTTTTATTAAATACGAATACTAAGATATTGCATTATATAAAAAGGCGTAATAAAATGTAAATAAGCAGTGGTAGCGCAGTGGTAACGAGCTCGCTTGGAAAACCGAGTAAAGCGGGTTCAAATCCTGGGTTTTCGCTCCTCTGATATTTTCATGTGCGTATCATTTCTAACATGATTGCCACTTGCCTTACGGCGAAGGAAAACATCATGAGGAAACCTGCATGTCTGAGAGAACCTACCAAGTTTTCGAAAGACATGTGAAGTCTGCCAACCCGCACTTGGCAGCGTGGTGGACCATGGCCTGATCCCTCTCGTATTGAAAGGAGGCCCGTGCCCTACAGTGCGACGTTAAAAAGGGCTGAAGAGATAGACAGAACTCTATCTGTCTAAAGTATTTGTTTCAAAATTATTAATATGTATTTTTTATTTATTTTAACTGTTTTTCACGTGGCCAAAGTAGAGTCGAGGTGACAAGACAGTTACAGTACGTACAGCAAATAAACGTACACAGAATATTTAATAAATAATAAACGATGTTATCGGTGTCATATGGCTTACGAAATCCTACCAAACAAAAATAAATGCGAATAAAATTTAATCATCGTCATGAAGGACATTAGGTATTTAAAACGCGACTTCGGTTAACATTCTTCAAAATGTAGAGTCAGTAAGTATAACTAATGAATTAATTTCGTAGTACTTCTCCATACCAACCTAAATAGCCTTGGAAAATATGTATGAGACTTCGTATAGTAACTTACTGTATTTCTTGAATATCTCTAACGAGACAGATAGGATCTAATGGTATGTTATAATGGCCTTATTAAATAAAATATAATCTATACATATAATAAAATTGTAACCAAGCTGAATCTGTACATCAAATATTTTTTGGAAAATCTTATTGAAACAGACATTATTATCAATACAGAGGCCGAATCTATAGTTTTTAGAATTTTTGTCTGTCTGTCTGTCTGTCTGTCTGTCTGTCTGTTACCGCATCATGGAAAAATCACTGGAGGGATTTTGATGAAATTTAGTATGATGATAGCTGGTTGTCCGGGTCTACATATAGGATACTTTTTACCGCGGGAAAATATCTCATTTCTGAGAAAAAATATATAAAAACTGCAATGCAAGAGTAAACTAATATGTATAACGTAAGAATTTGGTTTTTGATCATCTGAACGCGGGCGGAGCCGCGGGCAATGCTAGTTTATTATAATTATATGAGATATTGCAATTGGACAATGACACCCGAAACAGCTTTACGTTAAACAATCCTTTATTATTAATTTATTTTTATTTTTGAATATAAACGCACGACCTCTGACATCGATGCCAATAAAAACTTTGCATCACGACGATCAACATCATATGTATTTAGTAATAAAAAAAATAAAAAAAAAAACAACAATAAACTATTAAAGAACATATTATCATACACTCCAACAAATTATTACATCTCAATATAAATTTCCTGTGTTCATTTAATGTACAAATTCAAAGCTATAAAAACGTTTTGTTTATTAATATTTTTCTATTCTAGATAGGTATCTTTAGCAGAGACTCAAATGCGTAATACAAATAATTAAAATGCAAAATTGCATAACACAGAATACATGTATGTATGATTAATCGTTTGTACGCGAAGGACACGCTATTCAATATTAAAATTATCTCTTGATAAGTTGAATAAAAGTGTTATTATATTACGAAATCTAATATTAGCCATAAAGTGTAGTACTAAATAATATATATTACCTAGAAAATAGCACACACACTTTTAGTAAACGCAATAAAATTACTAATAAATTTTTTGCAAGGTCCAATAAAGGTAGAGGTTTTATTATATAGGCACGAATCAAACGGTAGCTACCTAGAAACACCTTGTATTATTGCATATTGCATGTCATTAGACTATTTAGATAGAGTATTTTACTATTTCAAAGGAAATATTTCAAATATTTGAAACCATACCGTTAAAATGCCATATTTTATAATAATGCAAAATTAATATATTTTTTAATATATAAAGTACAATTTTATATTTTGATGACAAGTTACGTAATTGTAAATTATACATAAACAGTTTCAACATCAAATGACTTGAAAAAAAATTCCAAAAATAATCTCACGGGAGGCAACACTCTATTATTTTAGATACTAGGTAGGAATAAACATTACACGAAAGACGGAACATATAGCAAATATTTAAATTTTCTAGTTATATTTACGATCGAGTCGCTTCCGCTAAACGTCTGTTGATTATATTTATAATCTAAATTCTAAATGTTATTCGACAGCTGTTTCGATATTCACGAGTCACGTTATCTAAAAATAATATTTTTGTATGATGGCATAATTTTTTTTAAAGCGAAAAATGTTACGCGTACTAATGAATGCGACACGTACTTGTGCTAAAATAAAATAGGAAAACCTAATATTTACCTTTTCGCCTCCCAAAAGGTCCACAAAAAGAGTTCCCTTTGCCAATTATATTGTCATCGATGTATTTGATCAGCTTGGCGGCGTCCTCGGCCTTGTGGGGCCTGGTGACACACCATCTCGCCGGCAGGTCTTCTTGCATGGATTCAGATTTGCCTTTTGTTCCTCTAGATTTTTTTAACACACTTGTCATATTACTCGCACATTACACAATATGTGTATATTTTTTACATACTTCAGTCACGAAAACACACAAATTTAAAATTATAAGTTACGCTATTTACGAATATCGCGGAAGATTTTCCGAATGTAAACTATTAACGCTGACGTAGAGACGTCGTAACGAGGTTATCACATCGAGCGAATGCCTTGTTCGCGCTCTCGGGAGTACTACTACTATACGCTAGTATCGCCGTAACAACGCACATCACCGCATTTTTCAGTGTTGCCACATCTGAAAAATCGCTACAATATAGTAGTTTTCCTTTTGTAAGAAAATATTTGACTAATCATAATTAAAATTAAATTACATTTGAAATGTGACCATGACATTTCTAAAGCCCATTTAATTTTTATTTATCTAATAAACATTAACTATAAAAAGATTTTACTAAAATCGAAAATATAAAAAGAATAAACATATAATTATTTTTTTATTTTTACTTTTAATTTATACCTACATATCATGGATGACTAATTATACTACACATCTATGAAATAAGTTCTTAGTTACTATGGCAATAAGATTTGTTTAATCATTAACCGCAAACATTGTTTATTCCGTTTATTTTTCGTGATCGTGCGGGGTGCTTGAAAACTTTTAAAATGCTGAAACTGCAAATTGCTAATGCTCAAGATCGGAAAGAAGCTCAAAACAGAGAGCGGCGACGACAATGCGAGTTAGAAAGAAGATCTCGGATATTTAATGCCAGAAATAGAAAAATTGGTGTACGTTCATTTAAAATTACATACTAATTTACTCTAATACCTTAAATGTCTTTACTTTCTAAATGGTTTGGTTGGAAGTAAATTGTTGTAAGAGATTTATATGAAAAAAATATACAAAGCAAAAATAATTAGTATCAACACACACAAATTAAGATCGATAATATTTATCCCGAGCAAGACTCTACCTTACAATCTCTGGTATCGACAATGTTCAATAAGCTAAGTAGTGATCACATCAAAAGGAACACCAGAATGCATGCTATGTGAAAGTGGTTTACATTTGGTTTCAATTCTTCTTCTTCTTCTTCTTCTCCCTGCCCATTTCCCAAATCACTTGGGGTCGGCGCAGTACATCTTCAGTGTACTGCTGATAGGATTTGGCAAGAGTTTTACGACCGGCCGCCTGCCTGACGTCAACCCTCCTTGGGAATGCTATTGTCTTTCTTTGTCTGAATGGTGTTAAATATTATGCACTTTCGATTTTGTTGTGTTTTAAAACATTTTTTGTACTATTAATTCAATTATTAATGTTATTTTTGGATATATTTTAAAATAAATTTCGATTACACAATAAATTTTGTATAGACATTGTCAAATTTTTTCTTCTAATTATTATCCTTTATTAAAAGGTTGACCTTCCCTTCTTGGAGCGTCAAGTAGAAGAGAAGAAAGCTGAAAGAGAAGAACAAGAAAGAAAAAACCTCGCATTCGCACGACAAATGATCAAAGACAGCAACCTCGCGGTCGTCTTAGAGGCCAGGGAGAGAGAAGTATCGCTCTACTTCTTTATTTGATTTTCACTAGAATAAATTAAAAAGCCTTATTTTTTATAGAAGACCTTCAGATTTTAATGAGAATTCTTAAATACGTAATAAATATCTACTCTTTATATAAAAAACCTCATTATTTTCACCACAATATAGGTAATTTATTCATTCCTAAATTATAAATTTAAAATTTACAATAAAACAGAAAAACAGTCGACATACAAACTAATTATATATTATTATTTATTGATTTCACCATCAATTTTACTTCTAAACTCTTGTAGGAACGACGCCGTATCGACACGGAGATTGATGAATTTCGTCAAAAATACCAACGTAAAGAAGACAGCAGGGAATACGATCTAAATGACCCCAATTCGTTAAAGATGCAAATGCCTCCACGAGCATCCGACGGGGAACCAGTCGGCTTGTCCAGTGCACAAAAGTAATTTAGGTTTTAACAATTATACTAAATAATCTTTAATCGTACTAAAAATGCTAAAACTTGTAATTATAGTCAAAAAATTTTAACTTGCGTATTACATACATAGAGGTTATCGGTACAAAAGTAGTTAGGTATAACCTTTGATACTTTTATCATATTATTTATAATTATTACATTAACTAAAGAAAAAATAATAATTAAATAATATAATAAATAAATACGTAAAGCTTTCGATTTTTGCTAATTGATAAAATAAATTTTAATCTTTACTAATATTATAAAGAGGTACAGTTTGTGATATTATGAGTTTGTGAGTTTGTGGGTTTGTGAGTTTGTGACGTTGTAGGGGGTAATCTCAGGATCTACTAAACCGATTTAGATGAAATTTGGTAAGAAGAGAGTTTGACACCTTGGGAAGGACATAGGATATATTTATCCCAGAAACCTATTTATTACATATTTTTATATTTTTATGCGAATATTTATATATTTTTATCCCGGAATCATCCCTTAAGGGGATGAAAATGGGGATGAAAGTTTGTACGAGGAAGCAAGCTAGGGACGAACCCGAGCGAAGCGAGGGTGAGTCGCTAGTATACATATAAAGGTATTACGTTTATTTGTATAAAATCCGCGGTATGCTATTTACCTCGAATGACTTGGCATGTAAATTTTCAGGTACTATTTTCATTTTCAAGTAGTACCTACAAATTTATAAAAATGCTTTATAAATATTTATATTTGAAAATATACTGTGCCATACTGATTTAACAAACACCCGGTAGTTCATCAACAGAATCTATACATAGTGTAAAACAAAGTCACTCTCGCTGTTTGTACGCTTAAATCTTTTAAACTACGCAACGGATTTTAATGCAGTTTTCACCAATAGATAGAACGATTCAAGAGGAAGGTTTATGTGTATAATACATGCATATTATATTCATACTAACCGTTAAAACGTACCTAGGGACGAACCCGAGCAAAGCGAGGGTGAGTCGCTAGTTATATATACTTATAATTTACACACTCGCAATTCGCGTATATTTATATAGGTAATGAATCCGACTAAACACTCGCCCTATAGAAAGTCAGCAGTATGCGAGGAATTATTACCAGTAACTTTTATATGACCGCACTTAGCAGTAATATAGTTTTTACTAGCTTTTAGAATTTATTAGAACTAAGCGAGAATCCAGGGTAGTGTGCAAGACGGCTTGCTAACCGGTGGAAGAACTTAACAAAAAATAGCTAACAGTTGGCTGTAGGCGTAATCGCCCCGCAGTCATGGAATTATTAACGAATTTAATTATTAAAGAATTTTAATTTAATTTATTTGATTTATTATTAAAGAATTTTATTTTAATGAGCCTGCATCTTCTCTAGTTAACAGTATTATCGTGCTTTCAACTTAAGGGTGCACCGAGGCGGCAGTGAAAAGTAATTACGAAATAATGGCGTTCGTTTGATCCCTTGCTGTGTTGTTATTACTAAAATTTTAATTATGCAAATAATATGTAGGATATTTAAGGATTTATTCTATAAATCGTACACATTAGAAACACGATTACTTGTAGTTTCCTCGATAGAAAAAAAATCCAAAATGATCTCTAAAAAACAAAATAAGCACTTAGTGCGGCGTAAATAATTCAAGGAAGTTCATCAGTTTTTTTAATAATAACAAAACTATACTTTTTCTATGTTGTATACACTTTACATTTTCAAAATGTGTATTTGTTTTAATAATACGAAGGAAATACCTAAATTCGAACGCGTTCCGTCCATCGTAGCCACACTCCCCCCTGCCCGTTTTAATCCTACTAAAATCAATTAGCGCCAAAAGCTCGATGCCCTCTTAAACAGACTAAGCAACTTCGGACCCTTGGTTACATTGTTTTGTTACACTGGTGTAACTACAGAGCATATCTATGACCGATGGTTACACTACGAATAGGATCTATATAAAAAGTGTCTGCACTGGTGTAACATCTATGACCAATGATTACACAACGAAAACGACAGCCTTTGATTGTTATTAGATTATTTATTGAAATTAAGTTCATTTAATTTAATATTTGATTCATCTAAAGCATTTTTGGTTTTAAAATTTCTAGTCGCTTATGGCGTTGTGGTCGTTCAAACCTGTGTGGTCACTATTCAAACCTAATCAATCTAGAAAGAAAGAGAATGAAATGGTCGGACATGAATTTTCACCAACATTATATCGAATTAATGTTGCTTCAAACCCATGTTAAGTAAAACCAAGGCATTAGAGATAGTCTGTGGGATTTTAACATATCCAGCTTGAGCTACCCATAATATACAATACCATAGAGAACAACTCCTTATTCACTATCATTATCAATAAACGAAAATCTATTGTTAATTATGATTAATGATATGATTAATTACCTTATAAGTGAACTTGATATTCCTTTAGATTTGAAGGCGAAGATCTAGAGTATGAAGAACGTAAGAAAATAATGGCGGCGCAAAAGAACGCGTGGCTCGAACAGCAAGTGCAGGAGCGCAAGGCTGCTGAGGAGGAGCGCAAACAGGCAGAAGCCGCCTACATGGTTACCAAATCTCTATATTAACGTATATTTAAGTTTACAACACGACTAACAACTTCTATAAATGAAATATATATACAAACATATTTAAAACGTTTACTTTTTAAAAGAAAATTAATTTTCCATTCTATTTTATTGTTAATGGCTTTAAAGCGTGCCACTCGAGCACAGATTACTTCACCAATCTCACGTAAAATGCAGAAGACACGAGGGAGATTGGTCGATAAAAAAAAATACTTTTACGGCGGGTTTTTATTTTGACACTTAAAAATTATATTTTACATTGACCTTTAAATCAGCTTTCCTATCGCAATAATTCATTTTGACACATAATTTAAAATTCAAGCATAACCTCGATGATCGTGTTTGTTGGAAAAATGCAATCGCGTCCGACAAGGCATTTACCGCACGTAACTTGAGATAATGGTGAATATATGTATGTAATAAATAATTAAATATATTGTACCTACTATGAAAAATATGTCTTTTTCTACATTAAGTTATTTTCCACATAAAAGTTAAGCATTACATGATGTATTTATTTATTAGTTCACGTTCTTCATGTAAATTGGTACTTTATGCTAAGAGAACTAATAATAATAACTAGTAATTGTTTTTATATGTATATTCTTTATTCCAAGTTATTAGTTATTTTATTATATTATTAATTGTAAGTTACTAAAAATATTAACGATTAATAAAATAGTATGCATTAAATCTTACAACGAAATTCAGCATAAAAAAATTGTTATTTTGTTTCTTATATTGTTTATATTTAGGATCATTTTAGACATACTCGTAATGGCTTCATTTCCAGTATTTTACTATTCTTTTATGAATTATTTTTATGATTTTTTTATTTTTTCTTTAACATAGATGGCGATTAGATCCCGAGACGCTCGTGCCGGAGAACTGGACAAGTTGGAGAGAGAATGCCGATATCGACTCGGTCAGGCCAATTTACGTTACAATGAGGCTTTGGTAATTAAGTTTTCATATTTATAAATACTTACATTTCTAACAAAATATGTTGATTAAATTTTGTTTGTTCTAATTTAACTAACTAGCTAATTGAATTTTATCGTTATTTAATTATTTCTGGGCAGCTTTCTATAACCTTTGCGAGCACTCTCGCTCTTGCGAATTGCCTTGTTTAGATCTTCAAGAAAACGGCATATTATATAAGTATAGCTTATTGAAAGTGGTTTTAATTAGAAATCAATTTGGTATTTCATTTCTGGCTTACTAAATGATTATGAAGTTTCATAGCCTCGAAGTATCTATTCAATATGAAAGGAATCATAATATATAATATGTTTAACTAAACTTTTCAAATCAATAGGCGGCAGAAAAGAAACAATTGGAACAAATAATGAAGGAGCAAGAAGAAGCAGACAATGCGGCGGAAATGTACAACAATCTCACGTCAGACATGTTGACTGAGAACCCAGATGTGGCTAAAAGCGCTCTCGGAAAGAACAGGTATTTAATATCATCACTACAAGTACATAGTACATATTAATATAAAATTTATAAACCAAAGTAGGTACTCCACGCCACCATTCTGAGTTTATTTGTTTCGGCTAATCTCAGAAACTACTATACGGATTTTCTTACAGCTTTCATCAATAGAAAGGAGTTGTAGGCTATAAACTATAATTTATAAATATATTGCGATAGTATAATCAATCTACCAGCATGATGATTTTAAATATTTGAGATTTAAGTTAGAAAAAATTCTCGCTTCTAAGATTTTTTGTAATGTTTATTTATACATAGAGTATGTGGGGCACGCTCTTTCTATTTTATACCTAATGGTTGGGAAGGAGAGTGGCTCACTAGTAAATAAGCACTGCTTGTATATAATATTATTATAGTATAGGTATGGTATATATATGTATATTTTATTTCGTTTATCAAGGAAGTGGGGTCGATTTGGTTTCAATTTTGTATATATAGATAAGATTTTGGTTAAGTTTATCTATATATCTTTTCTTAAAAAGTATAATTTCCGAAAAAAAAAACAAAAATAAGCATCGAACGCGAAGCTTATTGTCGTTGTGATATAGATTTGTACATTAAACAATTTATAACCTGCAATCAATTTTTGAAATACAACTTTAAAACCTGTTTAATAATTTATAGGTATCTTATAGATATAGGTAAAATAATTCAAATGAGAGACGAAAATGGTAATTCTAAATACAGGTATTTGACGTAAATACGTACAAGGACGTAGCGAGAATTTATAACACTGTCATTCTCAATTCGTGAATAGATAGTTCATAATATGTATAATGTATATACTTATAGGAATGAAGAATCATATTAAAATAGAATCAAAAATATTAAATTGTCTAACATTATATTATAAATTATAACTACATACCGTTTTTTACGAAAGTTTTTTATTCCATTTGACGACACGTTTGGCTCAGTTTGTAGTGAGCCTCGCGGGTTCGAGTCCCGCTGGTGGCATTAATTTGCGTGATGAACACGAATGTTTGTACTCCAGTCATGGGTGTTTATATTTATAATATGTATGTATTTAAAGTTATATGTGTAGTGTATCAACTATCTGGTATACATAACACAGGCCTCGTAGCTTACCATAGAACTAGATGGTGCTGTGTGTTAATGTCTCAACAATATATATACTGGAAAATCAAATGTACCCGTAGAATATTAGATTTGTATATTTTCCTTTATATGGTAAACAAAGAGGACAAAACTTAAGGTATATTTTGTTTTAATATCTTTTGTTAGGCAATATGTAAATAAATAAATTTCAGAGCTATCGGCTTCATGTACAAAGGCATGAATCAAGAAGAACTGAAGAAGTTTTACGCGGCGCAGAAAGACCAAATGGCGGCGGCTAAGGTAAGTTTTTTTTTTTTGTAAAATTGAAGTACCTATAATCTTAAGCAAAACATGTATGAGTAAGGCCAAATTATATATCGCATTATTTTTCAAGAATCGTCATTATATTTCATAAATACTTAAAATAATATATGCATTGAAAAGAACCCGAGTTTACATTTTTTTTATTTCTTGTAAACACGTGCCATTAACAAGTTCCTACCCGCGCTTCTCTCGTTTTTATAGATATCTCTCTATATATTTTAAGTGTGAATTGTATCATATTATGTTTAAAATAAATCAATATTTTGATTTTTCCACCGACGACGGACATTAAGACTGCTTTATAAAAATTACAGTTAGGTATTATTTTTTATCAGCTGAAATTTGTCGCAATTTCAGACCAGCTGTTCCCAAGTAACATGATTACCAACGAACAGCATTTCATTTATATTTATATAGTATATTACTGTTTTTACAGTTCAATTGACAAGTTACTGTTTGTAGGCTAAACGTGAAGCCGAAGAAAAGATGGAAGCCGAGTGGCAAGCGCTCGCTAAATCCATACAAAGGGAAGTCGCCACGCAGGACATACAAGACCGAAGGAAGAGAAGGTATGTATATGAATTTTTATAGCCTTCTACTAATATTTAATGTCAAAACATAACATAACATTGTTTGTCTACAGAAGTAACTTTTGGTTTATATGAAATGGTTACGTAATAAAGGATTTTGTAATAGTTTTTTGACATCGGGATGTCGGAAGGAATACGGGGTGAAGATATATAAATTAACTAGCATTGCCCGCGGCTCCGCCCTCTTTCAGCTGACCAAAAACCAAATTCTTAGGTTTTACATATTAGTATACTCTTACAATGCAGTTTTTGTATTTTTTTATAGGATGAATTTCAAAAAATGCTATAACACGTATTTATTAATTTGTACTGAAGAGTATTAATACTAGGTTTCAATTAATTCTGATCACAAATATTTTTTTGATTTGTATTATAACGCGTTTTCCCGTGGGAATAAAATAATCTCCCGCGGTATAAAGTAGCCTATGTCACTCTCCAGCCCTCAAACTATCTTCACACAAAAAATCACTCTGTTTCGACGTGATAGAAGGACAGACAAACAAACAAAAAAACAAACACAAACACTTTCACATTTATATTATATTAATTATATTTTACAACAGGGAAATCGCGAGACAACTAATGGAAGAAAATCAGTTACTGGCGCTTCAACAAAAGGAAAAAGAAAAGTATTTCAAAGAAGTCGTCAACAACAACGTTCCGACCGACGATTACTACTCGCAATTCAATACAACTACCAGATAAATGTATTGTACACCCACAGTACGTTTAATATTTTTACTTTTTTGAGTACATGAATATTTCATTTTTAGTTAAAAATTAAATAAATTATCTTTTAATCGTATTTGTCTTTTGTTTTTTTTTTTAATTTGATTATAGACACAGATCATATAATGTATAGATAAGTACAAAGCCCTTCTCCTGTCTCCCACGAGGCTACTGACAAGCGACTCGAGTTTAGAAATAAAACAAAGTTATGGAGAAAATAAATAGTTTTACTTCGGAAGTTACTTCATTCAATATAATATAGATTACATCTAATATCAGACACTAGGAATAAAAGATTACAAAACTAGGTACGCAAATATCCTAGGCAATTTTACACAACGCTACAAATAACACTCATATGAGTTACATAAATTACATAATTTTAATAAATATTTAATGTTATACAAAATATAAATATTTAGCAAATGTCTTCTACTTCTAGACCAGTAGACTGATTATGAGCATGTATGTGTATGTAATACATGACACGTTTCTAATAAATAAGAAAATTACTGAAAGTCGTCTTTCAGTGGATCATGGTAACAAATCATTTTACTTTCGTAATGTGCCTCTTGGATCACAAGTCACAACTAGCTTTGCAAGACTCTGCTTTCTGGTCAACCCACTAGTGACTAGTAGACAGTAGTCACCGTTGGGCAGTATATTAAAACTATGTTGGGTCAGAATTTGTTTTGCAAGACTAAATAATCATCGTCAGTCTATGCCAAAAATATTAGTATAATACGCAAATAATGGCAACACTTGTATTAAAGTCAAAGTCATTATTTTGTAGAATTTAGCATATAAATTAAAAATGGTCACCGTTATTATTATATCGTCATGTATTAAATGCCTTTTATAAATAATCATTATAATTTTCTATAAATAAGGAGTGGCGAAGCATTCATTTTATTTCTGATATTGTACGCACCAGATGAATTTAATTGACCGACCTAAAAAGCAGGACGTATTCGATTACTTTGGTGATTGTTAATCGATTTTCATGATTCGTTTTTTAATGAATGAGTTATCACAAGGGTTATTAATATTAAATACATTAAAAGACACCTCTAAGGGAGGAAGGGTGGAATAATAATTATTCTAAAGTAATTTTAAGATCGGTATACCTTTTTGTTAAAAATAATTATTCAGATGCCTGCTTTCGAATGAGTTTATTTGGTTTGTCATAAAAAGCTAACAAATTAAGTGATTCATTGATTTAATTGTTTATTCAAACTTCGATTAAAAAAAATGGTTAAGTATAATAAATGCATCGCCACAATTCATATACATAAATATAGTCCACAATAACATTTTTTTTGGCACATTTGAATAAAAATAGATATCTACTGCGATATTTCACGTCTAATACTAATTCACCCAAAGAGACACGAGTTTGGTGAAAACTAGTCTTTTAAAAAGACCATGATCTCTACACATCTCGAAGAATACGTAAATTATAATACTTAAGCGTGAATTTAATTATAATTAATAACTTTGCTTTCGATTATCTCGTCATCTAGAGATAGATATTTGACGTAAACTAAATGTTCCTATGTAGTAGCTATTTGGAACTAGCGATGTAATTTTTTGTACTACATTCTTAACAGAAGTTCTAAATTTTCGCGTTCCATAATTATATAATAAAAGACTACGGGACTAATGCCCGATTTCACCAACAACCTATAAGCTACCATGTACGTATGGGATCCGTAGCTTAAAAGTTCCCCTAAACTAGTCCCTAAATTAAATTCCGTTTTATCATCGTCTTTAAGCCCATATTTCGAGCACCTAAATTTAGGGGGCCTTTCAACATTTAGATGACCCCTAACTGTCGGTGAAACAGAAAATGTCCCTTAACAGCCCCCTAACCATGCTTAGGGGATCCCTTAAACTTAGGTGATGTTGGTGAAATCGGGCATTAAACGCGTGAATTCGTAAGTGACAAAATACTTTATTCCCGACGTCTCGACCGGGTTGCACCAGCCGTGGTCGCGGGCAGATTCTATGCGTAGTACCGTAGTGTCATTATTATATAAGTAAAACTTCTAATCATATTATTTTACCGTCTGTTGATATACAGTCGTTAGGCAACCTATTTACCTTAAGTTATGATAATGTCTTTCTCTAAATAATCAAATCTATTTATCAATATAATTGAAATTATTTTCCTTTAAATGAACGAATTCATAAAATACAAGTACCTATATATTATTACAAGCCTTTATATAATATAATATCAATTCACAATTTCGATAAGGCTTTAATTATTTAAAAATTTGGCGGGATAGTATATTTTTTTGTCACATTCGACTGATAGTCTATTACACAATCACAATTTATATTCTATATTACATTTTCTAAAACTAAGTTAGACATGGAATTTTTATCATAAAAATAGTAATTGCTATTTGATTACCGTAAAAAAATAACACAACCGAACTATAAATTAGTGCCCTCAACAATAATACTGTCTTTATAAAATCAGTCAAAATTATTGTAAATATACAATAAATTATCAATAATAAATTAATAAAATAAAAATATTTATTACAAATTATTAATAATGTAAACAATAAAAAATATTTATCATAATTGTAAAAAATATAACAATAACAATAAAAAAATTAAAAACATTCGACTCAATAACAAATTAAGAAACGCTCAATTCCTCAGAATATTAAAGTACTAAATACTAAATATGTATACATTGTATATGAAAATCGCCTCTAACAGACCATTATTAAGATAGTATTTCTTGTATAAGAATAATTTTTGTTTTATATTTCTCAACATATTTTGCGTTTTAGACTCCTTAATAATACTACTTATAATATTACCAAATATATTAAATTGAAGGCTTGAGTATTTTCCATTTAGAAATTTTAGAGGGTATATTTCAAAAAACCTCACTGCAGGGCTCGGAACCGGTTTATTTCGGTAATGTAATGGTTAATTCATCACTCGTTCTTTAACCGGTTATTGAAAATCGAAATAATAATGGTTAACGGTTATTCTTAGAGAAAGGTTGGATTTCGGTTTTGATATCGAAAAAAACCGGTTAATTCATTAATAAGTAAGAAACGTGCAGACGTTCTTCTACTAAGCCATTCGCCATTAATAAAAACTCTCCAAATGTAAACAGACATAAACTTATTTATTAGGGTAATGTTGTTCATGAAACGTAAATTCGTCGAAAACCGTTCTCCCGGATTTAACCGGTTAAAGAACGTAACCGAAACCTTAAACCGAAAAGCCTTTCGGGTTAATGACCAAAACCGGTTTAAAATTTGAACGGGTATCCGATCCCTGCTTTACTGTACGGTAAGGTTAGGGTACATGACTATTATTAAAAATTTGACCATCACTAATAAAAGATCAATACAATTATATAAAACTTTTACGAAATAAAACGAAGTGACTTTCGCGTGAGACTCACCCATAGGCGTAGAGAATGGACTGAGTTATCTGTTATGAAATTGACGACTAACTAGAAAGAGAGAAAACAAACATGCGGTCAATACCTGTCTTTTATTTCACTTTGACTTTATTAATAGAATGTAAAAAAAATATTATATTATTTAAAATTATAATAATATAATGGAGTGACGCCTGGCAAACAAACACTCACTCCACTCTCTGTCTATCGCACCCGACTTAACACGCCATGAAAATTAGTTAAATGGTTTTTGACAATCCTTGCACTCGACATCTTTTCCGTTATGATCAAAGGCGACTTTACTCTATGGATATTTATACCATAATAATACCAAACACCAGTAAAATTAAACTTATTACAAATCGTAACAACCTTCCCCATAACAACAACCATGTACCCCACGAAAAGATATATCAATAACATTAGTACCTCTCCGCATTGTGTACGGTCTTGGGTGCGATCCCGATGAGGCCCTTGTTCTTCAGATTGATAATAGAGTCGGCGACGATACGGGCGGTGCGCCGCAAGTAGCCGCCGCTCGTCAGCATCACAACCGGGATCTCTTGCTCTTTGCACATTTCAAACACGAACTCGTCGCGTTTTATAATACCCTGAAATAAAAACAATGTTTAGTTTATTTTATTAGATTATAAATCGTCAACGTAATCTAAAGATTCAGTGTAGTATGTATGTGAGAAAGCTATCACCTTTTTTGTTTTTAAATCAGGATGTTTTCACCCAAAGAATCGAAAAATTTTGTTCACTAGTGACATAAAAAATATCCGAATTCAACTATCAAAAACTCAATAAATATCCGATTCCTTTCAGATATTTGTAAATTTGTTTACATAAATAACTTTTAATACATTTAAGAATAAATAATTCTTTTTAACATACTACAGCTGGGATTGGGGCGTGATTTAATGCTTTTGATTTTCAAAATAATGTAATTTCATTTAGAAAAAGATTCACAATCACACGAAAAAATAAGCTAAGTAATCTTAAATATTAAAAATAAAAAAAAACTCACAATTTCACTGATCCTCATAAGTCCTAGTGGATCAGAGTCCAGTATGTCAGTGCCAGCATTGTACACCAAGATGTCAGGCTTAAACTCCTTCAGAGCCGCCTTTAAATTCCTACAAATACAAATTTGCTGTTACTACAGTTCAAAGATCCGTACAGTAGGCCCGGTCCGCCCATTGATTTTAAGGGAAATGCGGTGAAAGGCAAGAGTTGTCAAAAAAAATATAATTTTCATGGCAAATGGTTGCGAAGTTAAAGCACTCTGCATATAATGGCATCTCTAGCAAGTTACAGTTATACTCATCAACCCTAAGGCTGTTATCAAATTGTCACATGAAACTAAGTATAACAATTTCTATATGACATTGGAGAAGTAATCTGTGCTCAACTGGCACGCTTTGAAGTTATTAAACAAGAGAATTGAATTAAGTATGACAATCTCTGTTTTAGAGTGTTTGTTAGATGACTGTATGGATTATTAGACTGTATGTTCTTACTGACATTACATGTAAGTACATTTTAGCATCACTATCATTACTTACTTTCGCAATTTAAGCATATATTCCAAATCTTCCACCTTATTTCCCAGTTCAATTTTCCGTCGAATAGCCCTTTTAGCTTCTTCATCTTTGGGGTAGATGTGACGGTTATACATATCCATTATGTACACTTCGGGCACGCCGAGAAAATCGCGTTGGTAGCCATTACCCTGAAAAATATTTAAATTATTTATATCTCTAACCAACTCTTCCATTAAATGATAGGTATTATTAAATATACCAGAAGAAATAATAAACTATGTTACTATTTGGCTCATAAACTATTCTCTATAAAAAATGTATCACCATCCATTGCTAGTAAGATAAAATAAAAAATACACCTTCATAATGTATGTAACAGTAGTTAGGATTTCCCTATTTCTAAACTGACTTGCATACCATAGTAATGAATACTGAGCCTATGTAAATTACCGCCAAGTACTTAATATAAAACCAGAATCCCAAAATATAAACATTCATATATACAAATAATGTAAATTAAAAAATGTAGTTGTAATTATGAGTAAAAACCAAAAAAATTAAACTATACAGGTAAATATAATTGAAATGTCTGTTTGTAATATCAAAAAACAGCTTTTTACTAAATGCATATGAAATTATATACAGTAATTATAAGATTTTGACGGGACTTTCACTGGTAGATAGCTAATGTTATAAGGAGTAACTTAGGCTACTTTTATTTTAGAAAAAGAATTAGGGTTCTGCTCAAAAAAATTAAAACATACTTAAGGAAACACACAAGCGAAGCGAGTGTAAGTCACTAATAAAGTAATAAAAATAAGTAATAAAACAAAAATAAATTCATAAAATACACCTCTTACTTGATGAGCATCCAAATCAACAATCATAGCATTTTGTACACTTCGATGTAAGACCAAATTCTTGATAAGTAGAGTGATGTCTGCATAAGGGCAGAACCCACCCCCCTTGCCCGCACTGCAGTGGTGAAACCCACCACCTACATTTATTGCCCAACCACGCTCTAATGCAAGCTTACCGGCTAGAATTGATCCACCAGTCTGTAATCTATTAAGGACATAATATATTTCATATTTTTTATTATTTAAAATTATTTAATAAAATACAATTATTAAACTTAAATATATATAATCATTGAATGGATTACCTCATTGGCTTCAAATAAGCATGTTGGACAAGTATATTCGGCAAACAAGCTACTATTGGCACTTCTGCAATCATTGCAACTTTACCACTCCACTGTAAATATACATGTTTAATATTTTTTTTAATTTTTGTATGATATTTCTATAAAATAATGGCATTAATACTTACTTTAAGAGATTTCAAATATTTTTTAGTATGAACTACAAGAAGTTCATTCTCTTTGGCTTCAAGTGGCTTTACTAAGCATTCTTTTGTTATAAAATTGGCCTCAATCAAATGCTGTTAAAAAATATAAAAACCAATTACTACCTATGCTGAGTGTGAAATTATTATCTGATTATATTTAATTAAACATACAATAAAACATATAATAAAATTGTAACTAAGCTGAATCTAGTAATTAAATATTTTTTTGGAAATTCTTATTGAAGACATTATTATCGATACAGAGGCTGAATCTATAGTTTTTATAATTTTTGACTGTCTGTCTGTGACCGCGTCAGGGAAAAACCACTGGAGGGATTTTGATAAATTTGGCTGGAAAATATCTCATCTCTGAGAAATCTATACTACGTAAGTAGAGACGAACCCCAGCGGAGCGAGGGTGAGTCGCTAGTATTTAATATTTGCCAATATTAAAAACTAATTATTTCAGATTTAAATCATTAAAGGGGTCAAAAATGTTAACTACGTACCTGTATTATATTACGCCATTTCTTTGCATCAAACACATGAAACTTTTCAAAGCCGCAAAACGACACATTATACTTCTCATCATAAATTAAAGGCCATTGGTCATCTCTTATATCAATGTAAACACTACAATTAAAAAAAACACGAAAATAATCACATCAATGTATGATAGGTATAATTTAAATGCAAAGTATCCACGATAAATGTGAAAAATATTTTTGATATTTTATTTATTATGCCCACCTAGACATATTGATCAATTTCAAGATGTCTATTTTATCACTTTGCCAAAATTCTATTTACATTTTCTAAAATATTGCAATTCTAGAGATCGAGATAGCAAAATATCGGCTTATCAATGTCATAAATGACATATCACATATGACATTAGAAACAGTAACAACATACGTTTAAAAACTAGTAATAAAAATCAATATTTAAATTTTAATATACAATATATTTAAAATACCATAACATTTATACAAGATTTATTAACATAATTAACATTAGTGTAATTTAATAAAACTTACTGTTAGTTTACAATTTCTGAAGTAGGTATCTATCATTATAATCTTGGGCGGTTGCTGAGCAACAAAAATGACAAATAGACGCGCGAATTGTAAAAAATGCAGAACAGTGTGTGATCTTTAATTCTAAGCTACATTAACTTAATGAATTATTTACATTATAATGATTGCTCTGTTAATTAAATATATTTGATTTAATATTTTAATAATGGATACAACAGATCAATCCACTGTGACCGCTATGCAAAATGAAATCCAGTTTTATAGGGTAGGTAACTATGTTTACAACAATCTGCGTATCAAAACTATACATAAATCACAGATAAGCTTTTCCTACTTTTTATTTATTTTTAGCAAAATCAGTTAGTGGTTGAGCAAGAAATTAAAACTTTAATTGCTGATAATCAAAAATTATCTCAGCAAGTAGGCTGCCTTCTAAAAGAGAAGCTTCATCATGCACAGCAAGCCCACAACAATGATCAGAGCGAAGAGATTGAAGAATTAAAAAAACAAATTTCTTTGCTCACTAAGGTATATCTGATTATCTTTTCAGTGATGTATTATGTTTATAAATGTTTTTCCATAATCAAAGTAAATAATTGGAATACTACTATTAATCCTATGGCGTCCACCTGCCGGTCCGTCCGTATGTGACTATCTGCCAGATATGCCTTTTTGGTTGTACTATTTCAATTTTCAACTGTTTTAATACAATATACATATTTTAAGTATATTTTTTTTTGTTTTTATACCATCATATAATGCGTGTGATTTAAATAAAGATGTTTTTTTTAATATCTTTATTGCTTCTGAATTACCTAAGCTCATATCATTATGTTTTAATGGAATTTCTTTTTTATTAAGAAAATGATTATTAAAAAATGCAAAAATAGGTGGGAAATTCAATGTAAGTAATTGAAACGCAACACCATTGGTCACGCCGAATGTGACGTCAAAGTCTATTATAATAGACTTGAATAAAGCGCTGTTGTTTGGTGTTTGCGATTGGTACTAACAATCTAGACCTGTCACTCGTTGTTTGCAATGTTGTCATAGACTATGATGTCACGCCAAGTGCGCCAAAATGGTTGGCGTTTAAAGTATCCGTATCTGTGCGATATTTTTCAATAATTTTTTTATACTAAATTTGAGTTTTTGTGGAGCTGGATATAGATTTCCAATTTTATAACGATGTAAGCTATTGTATAAAAAGCAAAAAAAAAAGTTACGCATTTTCCCTATTTGGTAATATAAACAAACTTGGTGTATTTAATAATTATAGTACAAAACGTTAATTACGTTTGCAGCAGTCAGAAGGTCGAAAAAAAACCGAATAATTAATAATTATTTATTAACTTTACATTAATACAATAATTATATATCTTAAAACTAACGACTTCTTTACTCGAAGTATGAATAAAGAGTGATTGGAAAAGTATTACAATTAATAAAATTACTAAATTAAAACAATGCGGCATTACAAAACTAATTCGAGGAACTCTGCGGTGGTCGCCTGGGAAACGTACATTTATTTGATATGTCAGCATATTCGTGGGATTAGGGTTCCGTAACTCCTCCACCCCTAGAGAGGCAACTATTTGAGAATGTTGAGTGAAAAAGTTGCCGGGATACTTGTGTCCTTAAGATTCTCTGGGTTATCTCCATTTTCTAAAATTTCTTCCTTTTTTGCAGTAGTTTTCCTATACTTTCTATAGTGTAATAAAATGATAAGTGCACCTGCACTGAATAATATTGCGTATACTGGTATGGTTGTATGATATACTGTAATATCCTTTTCGCGTTCAATTTGTAGCGGTGATTGTATCATAATTTTGTCCTTGAGTCTATGGAGTCCTTGGATATTTATAGATGATACATTAATAGTTGTATCTAGGTGCGCAATTTCATCGGGTATCTTCATCAATTTTAAGGGCTGTCCTCTTACTTCGTTGTTGTCATTAATTAACGTAAATTCTTCGGATATGATTTTGCATCCTAGGGGAATAGTTATTAGGTAGCTGCCTTTTAATGAAGTGAATTCCTGTTTACCGCATGATATTTGTATCTTTTGATGCTGGGGGAACGATATAAGGTAGTGCATATCGTCTAGTTTCTCCATTGATTCTCGTAGAAGATTGACTGTAGTTAAGTGACAAGATTCCTTCAAAATCTGTTTAACAATTAGCTCGTGGATACAATCTGAATTTGTACGAATCTGATGATTGAGTTCCATTTCACAGAGATACCAGCTGCTATGTCTCGGGCATTCGGCCTCTATGTACACGAATGAATTCTCGTTAGTTGCAATGAAAGGAGAGGTGGGATGAGAGCCTGCGATTTTTTATTAGGTACTACTGCTAATCTATATAATAAAAAATTATCCTTAGAAATAATAGGAAATCGGAATATAAAAACTATTTGCTTATTAGCATAATAGGAAGCTGGTTGGATTATATTATAATATTCTCTTAATTCTAAATTTAAAATACACTCTTTTCCGTAGATATTCTTAAGCTTATCTATCATTGAACTTAATACATCTATACTAATCATGGAATGGTGCATGCTTGATGCATGAATAAAAGCTAAACTATTTTCTATTCTTAGTAATTCGTTCATTAAATCGTCTATGTTTTCACTTAGTATTACTAAAAGTTGGGCAAATTTGGCATATTTAATTAAAGTTGTATTATCTATATTGTTAGAAAGTATTAACATTAAGGTGCTATTAATTTTACTTTGATTTTCTACTAGTTGAGTCAAAACGCTATTATATTTAGTGATCCATTCTTTGCTTATGCTTAACTGATTATTAAGTTCATTTGTAATTTTTTCCTGATTACTTTCTAATAATTTTATAGCTTCATTATACCTTAAAGCATCCGTATAATCTAAGTTTCCTGTAATACTTTTTATAACTGTTCCGAGTCCATCAATAATCCCTCTTTTAGACCTGTTGGGTTGTAAGGATTTAATTTGATATAATATGTCATCTAATTTGTTGAGCAAGTAATTTATTTGAATTTCATATACTGAATAAGTGTCATTAGGTAATTGATTTTTGTAATTGTGCAAATGGTTTTGTAGACTGTGTGTTTTATCTTCTATGTCGTCGAGTTTTATGTATTGTAAAAATGTGTGGTAATGTGTCGTTGTTTTCATCGGTCCAAGTTTGTAGGGAAGTATTCCAGGTCCATCATCAAGACTCTCGAATTTAATTTCCTGAAGATGTACCAGGGGTAGTATCATGAGCACCAGGATTCTGTAACAAATTCGCTGCTTTAGGGATTCGCTTTAGTCGCGACTTTGCTATAGGACCACGTTTCTTTTTAGTGTAAATATGTATAGGTAAATCGGCAAGGACAGTGTCCTGTGTATATCTTGGGGCTGTTTTTTGTCTTTCAGCTAATGGGTTCCTTACAAAGATCTGCTGATCGGGCGCATACTCTATCTCAGGTTCGCGTGTCTGATTCCTATTCTCGATAAGGGTCGTTCGGTTACTAAGGGACGATTGGTTAACTATGTCATATACTTTTTTCATCTGTTCTTTATGTGTCTGTAAGTATTGCTGTAACGTTTGTTGAGTAAGGTCAATGTCAAGGCAGTCTCTAGGGTCAAAGTGTCCGTTTAACAAATCAAAGGGTCTACATCTCGTGAAACTGTGTATAGAACTATTGTAAGCTATTAAAGCGTAAGGCATAAGGTTTACAATGGGTTCGTCTTTATGTTGTAATTTTAAAAGTCGCAGATGTTCAAGGAGAGTCGAATGGAATTTTTCAATATTTCCGTTGCCATTAGGAGAATGAGCTAAAGTTTTGTGGTGGTTAATTTTGTGAAGTCTAGTAAATTCGTTAAATAATTGGTTAGCAAATTCTGTTCCATTGTCAGTAATAATAGTCATAGGGACGCCATGGTGGGTACAATATTGTAAAAGGGCTTGTAACACGCTAACGGCTGTTCCATCACGTAAGTAATAAGCTTGTCCGTATTTGGTAAAGACGTCTATGAAAGTCACGTATTTGATATTCTGTATTGTCAGTAAGTCTATGTGAATAATTTCAAATGGTTTTGTCGCTGGAGGTACCACGTTAAATTGAGGTCTGACCGGATTTCGATCGTACTTGGCTTGTCCGCATATAGTACATTCTGTGATAAATTTAGTTATTTGATCCTTCATTTTCGGCCAAAAGTAATTTCGTGATAATGATAAATAGGTTTCATTGATTCCTCGGTGATTCGTCTTACCCTCATGATAATGACGAATGATTTCCTGCTGTCTAGGGTATTCTTTGACGTTTTCTATTTCAGTTTTTACTAAGACTAGATTCATTGCGGATGATTTAAATTTACTTTGTAAAATTGGAATTATTGTATACATATCTAAAGTAGGATAAACTAAAATAGCTGTCTTAATTTTAGAACTAATGTATTCCTTTACGGCGTTAACTAAATCTTCCTCTAAATTAGATTTACTTAACTGGATGTTAATTCGAGTGTGTTTTTCGAAAGGCTTTGATACTGAAGCTTTTCTTTTTATACCATCAACTATAGTAAAGATTACTTGTCTATGAAATTTATTAAGGGGTTCATCAGTAATCGGTATTTCTAAAATAGGGTTTTCGTGACTACTGTGTGCCGTTAATGTAGAAGAGTTAGATTGATGAGATGCGGAAATTGTTGAAGAGTTTGATTTTTCAGGAGCAGATATCGTAGAAGAATTTGATGCTCTGCGTAAGGTATACGATGGATTGCCTAATAGTGAATTTAATTCATCTATTTCTTCTATTAATGAATTTGTTTCTCCCGCGTGTATTTCTATTCTAGAGAGAGCGTCCGCGTTAGTATTACTTTTACCCTTTTTGTATATTACTGTATAGTCATATTCGCTTAAACGTAAACGCCATCTTGTAAGTCGTGAATTCGGTTCCTTTAAATTCATCATCCATTGCAATGGCTTATGGTCAGTGACTATCTTAAACTTTCTACCAAATAAGTAAGGCCTAAAGTATTTTGTAGCCCAAACTATGGCCAATAACTCTTTTTCTATGGTACTATAATTTTGTTCACTGTCGTTAAGAGTCCTAGAAGCGTAGCAAATTGGTCTATCGGATCCTATAGGGCCTTGTGATAAAATAGCCCCTATGGCTACGTTAGATGCATCGGTCGTCAGGTTAAATTCTTTATTAAAATCAGGGTATTGAAGTATTGGATCATTCGTTAAAACTGTTTTACATTTTTCAAAGCTTGATATATATTCATCATTTAAAATAATTTTCCTACCTTTTTTTAGACATTGTGTAAGCGGTTTTGTTAGTTTTGCAAAGTCCGGAATAAATTTACGATAGTATCCAACTAAGCCTAGGAATTGTTTTATTTCTTTTGGTGTTTTTGGTATGGGGTATTTCTCTATTGCAGCTATTTTTTCGGGGTTAGGTTTTACTCCGTCCGCGCTTATAATATGGCCTAGAAAAGCTGTTTCATGTTTTAAAAATTCCGATTTATCCATTTGGATTTTAAAGTTAGATTCGCGGAGTCTCTGAAAAACTTTTTGTAAATTTACTATATGCTCTTGTAGGGATGTACTATAGACAATAATATCATCCATATAAACTAGACAAATAGAGTTTTGTAGACCTTTCAGCACATCATCCATTACTCGCTGAAAGGTCGCCGGAGAATTTTTTAATCCCATGGGCATACGAAGGAATTCATAATGTCCATGCTCGACATTAAATGCTGTTTTATGTATGTCTTGAGGATCTGTCTGTACCTGATAAAATCCGCTAGCTAAATCTAAAGTTGTAAAATACTGGCATTTTCCTAATTTATCTAATACGTCATTTATGTTAGGGATTGGATATTTGTCATCTATTGTTTTTTCGTTTAATTTGCGAAAATCAACTACTATTCGCCATTTTCTTTTACCAGATGCGTCTACCTTTTTTGGCACAACCCAAATAGGTGAGCTCCAAGCCGAATTAGAGGGCCTTATTATTCCCTGATCGAGCATTTTACCTATTTGCTCCTGTACTTCCTGTCTATGAACGTATGGGTATCTATAGCTTTTCGTGTGAACGGGGACTTCATCGGTAGTTTTAATTGAATGTTTTATTTTATTTGTAAATGTAAGGGGTTCGCCTTCTAGATAAAATACATCAGCGTACTGGGTACACAATAGTTCTAAGTTTTTACGTTCCTCAACGTTAAGATGCTCTGTACGAAGTCGTGTCAGAACGTCTTTTACACGTCGGGATTGTTCAGTGCAAGTGAAATTTATATTGTTAATTTCAGCAGAGACGGCTCGGTCCATTGAAAATATTACATCATTCCTACTGGGATTTTTAACTTCTACAATACCCCTGCTATTTTTGACTGACGTAAGGCATTCACTAATTACGCAATTTGAAATTTTTTGTTCTTTTACGTATGCTTCACCGTCATGCATATTAATAGGGATTTTTAACAATTTCGATTGACCTGCTGGGATTATATCTTCGTATAAATTTTGATTACGGGAATCGTGTACGTATATGGGGTTTGAAGCAGTTTTGGTAATTAAAGTTTTATTTTTATAATCTATTACTGCTTCCCATTTGTCTAATAAGTCAGTTCCTATAAGTCCATCGAAAAAGTCATGAAATTTATATACATAAAATGTTATATTATTCGGGTCATTAAATTCATTAAAGCTTGGTATAGTTATTGAATAGTTACTTCTAGTTTTGGCATGAACATTACATACTTCAAACGGATCGTAGTTTAAAGGAAAATTATACAAATATTTTTCTACAACTGCTGGACTTAAAAAGGATTGGTTGGCTCCCGTATCTATTAATAATTTTAATGGTGGTGATAATATCTGAATATATGGAAGGTGACGTTGTGTATGTAGATTTATTTCTATTTTAAGGTGTCGGATTTGGAAATTTTCTGAAAATCCTGTTCAGTATTGTCAAGTGTACTATCGTTATTGGTTTCTATTCGTGACGTAGTGGGATTATCGTTATAGTTTTGGGAATAAGTCTCATAGTCATAGGGATATTCCATGTATTCGTCACTGTTGTAATAAGATTCAAAGTCTGTGTAATAATCGTACGGGTCGTAATCGTCTTCGCAAATATTAAAATTCATTTCTCTTGATTTAAAATAATTTCTTGGGGAGGGTTACCGTATTTTTGCCAATTATGTCCTGTAAGCGTATGTTGTGTTGGTGGCAGTGGTCGAGGCGCAAAATGGCTCACGCCACTCATAGGTCTGGGAAATCCATTGCCTTGATTAGGCCTGTGTGTAATATTATTTCGAGGTGGTAACCTAAACATGTGACTGTTAGGGTTGTAGTTCGGAGGTGGTGCACCGAACATTCTTTGTGTGTGTGTGGGTTGTCTAGGGTGCTGGTGTTCATTGTTAAATTTAAAAGGCTGTGTGTTAGGTCTAGATGGTGTCTGTCCTATACTTGGTGGAAATATGCGTGGTGTGAATGTGTGGTGAGTAGCGTTGGGTATAGTGGTTACGGTTTTGTTAGATTTCGAAACCTCGTAACGGCTGTGCATATACATAGTATTCAGTTCTTCCTGTACATATTCAAGAGCTTTTTCTATTGTTAGTGGTCGCATACAACGAATGCGGGACCCTAATGGTTCCTTAAGACCACGAACATAGGCCTGCATAGTTACTTTTTTATACAAATCGCGTTTTGCTTCGATAGTGGTGGATAGTGTCTCATGCAGTGTAACGTACGTCATTAACGTGCTAAACAAATTTTGACAATGGTCATAGAATTCTTGAGGGCTTCTATTACCCTGTGTGGCTAAGGAGAGATCATTGTATAGGGCGGTTTCATCCCTTTGATCGGAAAAGTTATTAATTAAAAGTGTTTTAATTCCTAACCAACTGTCGGGTATTCCGTTTGAATTAATTTTGCTTGCTGCTGTTCCTGTTATTTTATTTAAAATTCCATTTAATAGGCAAATGTTAGAAAATTCACTACCTGGTAAGTCGCTTAGATATTGGATCGCTAAATGGTCACAAATTTGGATAAATCTAGTTAAAACATTTGGGCTCCCGTCGAATTCCGGGACAAGGCGGAGGGCCTTAAATATGATATCCGGATCGTGAGACATATTAACTAAATTAATTAAATTAGAAGAACTACAATCTAAATTTAAATTTATAATTTCTTCCGAATTAATATTTCTTATGCTATCTATACCTAACCGACGGGCCTGCCTAGATTGAGGCTCTCGGATCCTAGATGCTTTAGGATGGAAAATTTTGGTAGCTTATGGATAGGCTTAGGTCTAGAAAGGAGCAACACGAGAACAATTCTTATGTACTCACATAAACTGCATTATCTGGTCTCTTTTCAGTTGAATCGATTGTTGGATTCCACTCCCGGCTGCCACAGGTCCGTAGATTCTGGATTCTCGAACGGTGCTTGGTAGTCACCCGGACGGCACGCGACGTGATAATTATCGAGTAATTAATTTAGACCGATCGCGAACCGGCCCGCGAAAATCCTACCGACTGCGCCAATTACGTTTGCAGCAGTCAGGAGGTCGAAAAAAAACCGAATAATTAATAATTATTTATTAACTTTACATTAATACAATAATTATATATCTTAAAACTAACGACTTCTTTACTCGAAGTATGAATAAAGAGTGATTGGAAAAGTATTACAATTAATAAAATTACTAAATTAAAACAATGCGGCATTACAAAACTAATTCGAGGAACTCTGCGGTGGTCGCCTGGGAAACGTACATTTATTTGATATGTCAGCATATTCGTGGGATTAGGGTTCCGTAACTCGTTTATAAACTACAGGTTTGGTTGGTTGATAGAGGTTTCTGCTACTGAATCATTAGTTTTAATTCATTAGTAAACATGTCATACAAATATTAACGTGCGTTAATTTGATCTGTAATTGGAGGATTTAATATTTTCATGCATTTTCTTTTCATTTTAGGAAAGGGATTCTTTAAATGTTTTATGGCAAACATCACAGAAAACTATTGATGCATTAGACATAGAATTGAAAACTTACCAAAGTTATAACAATAGGGGAGGAAGTAAGGTAATCAGTCCTTATATATTTACATATACCTAAATAGGTGTCTCAAATCGATGTGTTTACGCTTATTAGGAAACAAAAAATTTTTTAACAAAAAATAAAATCGACTTCCAGGCACTAAAATGTAAAAAATAACTAAACGGGGGTTTTCGTTTAGAATAGATACCTAATCAGATATTTTCGAAGTCGGTGCCAGCCGACGCATAGAAAATCTAATATATTTTGATACGTTAAATACATATTTACCTATTAGATATTCATATCTTAAAATATTGTCCGCTGATTTTGTTTAAGTTATCTTTTTTTTTTTAGTAAATATCTTTCCTATTGTTTTCAAAGCGAACCTGTCCCGTCTTCCCTCTTTGCCCATAACAACAACTTGTGCGCATAATAACTTTAATATTTTTGAATGTTTACTGTTATCCCACGGGACTTATTTGTTACATACTTCTAAAATGGCTTAAATCATAATTTATCTACTTGTTAAAGGTTTTATTATCTTTCGGGGATTATTTTTTTAATGCAGAGTACTTTGATCAATTTAATCAAGAAATGGGACACAAATTCATTTTCGTATTAAGGCTATGGGGCCGGTCTTTATTTAGATATTACCCGCGATCACGACCAACCAATGGGCCCATATTTTGTATGAGATATAAAAAGTGTGCCGGTACATTCGTATGTGCTTACATGTTTTATTAAATATTTATTAATTGTGTTTTTATTTAAATAAAAAAAAATCTGTTTATTTTAGAACTGTAGCAACGACACAAGAGACTTAGAACTCAAATTAGAAACAGCTCTAGCAGATTATGTAGAATTAGAATCGAAATATAAAAAAATACATTCAGAACGTAATTCTCTTGAAACAGAATTAAAAAACAAAGAAAAAGAAATAACCATACACAAAGAACAACAGAAAAAACTTAAAGAAGAACTAGAAGAAATGAAAAAGAGTTTAGAAGAATATAAAATCAATTTGTCAGCAGAAGTAAAAAGCCATGAAAGCATTAAGGCGCAGTTAATTGGATGTCAAAAGGAATGTGTCGATAAAGTGAAAAATGAAGCAGAAGCTAAATCAAAGGTATAATTAAATTAAATGGATAGATTTAAAATAACATATACGTTAATAAAAAGGCTCGAACATTTTTGTCTATGGAACATGATATTAGCCCTCATATTTTTTTTCAAAGCAATCTAGAGCACTATGAAGCCGGTAGAAACTAAAGTTTTTACATTTTTGTGGGTTTTGGAATGTTGTGGGAGGACGCCGTAAAATATCTTATTCTTTCCCCAAATTAAGTTTGCCCTAAAGCGTTAGAAACATCGACGGGAATAAAAAATCTTAATAAAAAGGAAAAAGAAAAAAGATAACTTTATTTAAATTGTCAAATATTAATGAAAATTTAATAAAGTATTAGTATTAAAAAATATCAATTTTAGGTGGCTGAAGCACTACAACTGTACGACTTAGTATCAGCCCAAAAGAACGAAGCATATAAAAAGATTTCTGAAATTACAGGTACATAACATTATGTTGTCAATATAATTAATAACTTATATAGCTAAATCGCAATCTAAAGTTTATACTAATATTATAAAGAGGCATAGTTTGAGTTTGTTTGTTTTTTTGTTGTTTGAACGCACTAATCTCAGGAACTACTAATACGATTTGGAAATTTTTTTTGCATTAGATAGCCCGGTTATTTAGGAACGTTATAGGCTATATATCATCATACTACTACCCAAGGGAGCGGAGAAGTAATCATAAATGTCAACAAATCGGGCAGACTTACGTACATTATTGTAAAACTATATCTATACTATAATAAAATTGTAGAGGTCAAATGTCTGTACATAGAAAAAAAATGCTAAAAACCGAGTCAGGGGGATGTATGAAGACAAATAGAACAAATCCCGATTTTTTCCAAATTTTTAGTTTCTCTGTCTGTTTGTCTGTTTGTACGGGCTAATCTCCGAATCTATAGGACCGATTTAAATGAAATTTTGCATGGTGGTACCTTATATCCCCGGGCAACATCTTAGATACTTTTTATCCCGGAAAATTAAATAGTTCCCGTGGGATAGTTAAAAAACTTTTATTAACTTATACAACTTATGCACCTAATTTAGTAAAATTTAACATTCTGATAACTTATATTGCCGGTCAAACAACAGGTTAATTTTCTAATACTACACACTCTAACTAATAGATCTCTATTAGTGTTTATTTAGATGGTGATGCTAATATACTATATAAATACATGGTTCTGATAGTCATTTAAATTTTTATTTATTATTTAATAACTTAATTAAATAAATCTGAAATCGTTCATAATTTAGGAGAATTATCAGCTGTAAAACATATGTTAGCAAATATACAACGTGACACTGAGGCTAGTTACAGGAAGGAATTAGATGAAGTAAAGGAAAGATACAACGAAAAAGTATCGGATATGCTCGTACATATAAGAAATCTCGATTCTGAATTAGTAGAAAAAGGACTACTGCTAAATAAATCTTTAAGGTATACTAATTAAATTATTTTATTGGATACTAGCGACTTACCCTCGCTTCGCTCGGGTTCGTCCCTAGGTTGATTCCCCATACAAACTTTCATCCCCATTTTCACCCCATTAAGGAATTATTTCCGGAATAAAAAGTATCCTATGTCCTTCCCAGGGTCTCAAACTGTCTTCTTACCATCTAAAGCGGTCTAGTAGGAGTTTATTCCTCTTTTTTATATTATTTCCTTTTTATAATTGAGGTGTAGATTCATTATTCGACATTTTAAATTTACAACTACATAATATCACTTTAATTACAAATAGGTACATATTTTAGTAAAGTTTACATTTTTTAACAGAGAAAATAAAATCTTATTGGCTACAAATGAGAGTCATGTGAAACAACAACAAAACAACTTGAACGCTGTAGACCCTAAATTAGCGCTAGCCGAACAGAGACTCGAAGCTATGTTTCAAGAATTGGTATGTTAATATTTATTCTGTTATTTAGATTTTTAAAATTATATTGTATCATAAATATCAAGCGCGTATTACGTATATTGTACATGTTAAAGTTCATTGAAGAATGATCTGCACTGAGTGTGAGTGCACTCGAATTCTTTACAATATATATATTATTATACTCTTTATTGCACATAAAAAACAAAAAATACAAATATTACCACAACATAGTGCCACAAACTTATCTGACCTGCTGGACAGAACTGGAACTATGTGTCGCCATTTTGAAATGTCATTTTGTTGTGTTGTCTTGAATTCCTCATTCCAGCTTCGAAAACTTTAAAAAAAACCGACTTCCAGGCACTAAAATGTAGAAATAACTAGACGGAGGCTTTCATTTAGAATAGATACCTAATCAGATATTTTCGAAGTCGGTGCCAGCCGATGCAAAGCAAATCTATTTCAATACGTAAATTACATATTTACCTATTAGATATTCATATCTTAAAATATTGTCGGCCGTATTTGATTGTTATTCCTTGTAATATCATGTTGATTGTTTTATAACAATGACTAAAAACAAATTAACATTCCTATTACTTAATATGCACCTGAGCTATGACATTATTTTTACCGTAAAAACTGCGAAAATTATATTTAATGGCAAAACTATATACAACAACAGCGACGCCATTACCAGGTCAGTTTGTAATGACCCTACGTGCTGTGCGTTGCGGGTTCAAGTCCCGCTGGGGGCATTCATTTGTGTGATGAACAAGAGTGTTTGTACTCCAGTCATGGGTGTTTATATTTATAGTTATATATGTGTAGTGTATCAACTTACCATGGAACTAGATGGTGCTGTGTGTTAATGTCCCAACATATTTATCTATTTATTTATGGCCAAAATAGGTGCGTCAGTATTGCCACTACAATACTATGTTGCTCCGTCAGTTTGTTCTAATCTCTTTAGTTCGCTTTCTGTAAAGGTATCATCAGAGCGCCGCAACATACAGCTAGTGTGCGAGAAGCAATGCCTGACGCTGGACCTCCAGCGCGCGCAGGACGCGCACGCGCGGGACAGCAAGCGACGCGACTGGGAGGAGAGCCTTATGAACACGCAGATCCAGGAGTTAAAGTATTATATATTGTTATTTATTTATCGTTTTAGAACAGCAAATGTAAAGCAGTCTAGAGAATTTAGTTATTTTATAACTAGCATTTGTATGGAAATTGAATAGTATGTATATTGTATATATATGTATGGATATAGATTATTAATTATGAGGTGGTTATAGCAACATTTGCAACTTCCTTTTCCTGTATATAAATAGTGTATTCTATTTCTCTACAAAATATACAACTATTTTGTCATATTTGTGCTTATTTGTTCATTCCACCAACAGTAGTTTCTCCATTTAAACAACTTTATTTCTAAGACTAATATACATACATATATACATACATACAAATATAGATAAAATACATCTTTTCGGCTTATTTTGTACAAATAGAATTGTCATTTAAAAGTCAATCCTCTATTAAAAACTCTTGGTAAATTGGTCATTTGAAGTTGAATAAATAAGCACTGAGATGACGATTTATTATTTAGAATTAATACTAAATAAATTGCAGGTTACATGTTGAACATCTTCAAAAATCACTAGAAGAAACACATGGGATGATCAACAAGCTACAGTCCATGTTATCATCTAGAACTGAATTAAGTCAAAAGTATATCTTACCTACAATTATTTTATAAATATTCATATATTCCTCTCTATTTGCTAAATTTATTTATTTATATATATATATATATATATTATATATATAATATAAGTCGTCCCTATGGACTCCAAAACGACAGGAACGATTTTGATGAAATTTTCAAACAATATTCAGATTAGCCCAGAAAGTGATCCTGTGAAGTTTGGTAGTGATCGGAAGTTTTAAATTATTGTAAATAGCAACTTAATACTCTATTTTTGAAATAGAATAGAAACTTAAATGTATAACTTTCTAGTCTACTGTAAATCAAATAAAATATATTATTTCTAAATACTACAATTTCAGAATGGTTTCAACAAAGGAAGAAGAATTGATTGAATTAAACAAACACTTAGAAAATCAAATGGAACTAAATAAGAAGTATGTTTATAATATATAAAAAATATTTTTAAAATGCATACTTTAAAAGGTTAATTATAAATTTAAATTAACGTATTATTAATTTCAAAAAACTTTATTTCAGATGGAAAGAGTCATATATTGATATGACTGAGAAATTAAAAAAGAAACTGGAAGCTCTTGATCAAGAAAACAAGGAATTAAGAATCAAATTAAACCTACCATACATTGGTTCACCGACCAATAGTAGTGATAACAGTATATAATTTGCAATAAGTTACCTTAAATAAGGCAGTGCTAGCCCAGTGGTAACATGCTCGCTTGGGAAACCAAGTGAAGCGGGTTCAAATCGTGGGCTCACACCTCTGATATCCTCATGTGCAAATCATTTCCAACATGATTACCACTTGTCTTATGGTGTCGAAAACATTGAGAGAAAACCTGCATGTCTGAGAGAACCTAGCAAGTTTTTGAAAGACATGTGCAGTCTTCCCTCACTTGGCCAACCTGGTGGACTATTGCCAGATCCCCCTCGTAATGAAGGGAGGCCCGTGCCTGCTCATGAGACATTAAAAAGGGCTAAACACATATATACCTTAATAGTGCAATATTAGTTTAGTGAAAGATGAAGTTTGTAATAGAGTTTTATTTACAATAAAATATATGACATTTATTCATCAATAAGAGTACTATTTTTAATTTTTATTATGTCTCCAAAAAATCTATATTCACATTTAATTTAAAAATTAAGTTACATAATTTAATAGATTATTTTTATGTGGTAAGATAAATCAATATAAAAATTGTAAATCATATTTTGAATTATTTTAGTAAGTCCGAAGTACCTTCAAGTGTATGATCATATTAAACCCCTTAACTCAATTAACACCTTAGTAGAAACATATGTATAAGGATATTTTATATTTCATTTATTTGACATAACTACTATATATACAACATTAACAAATTTAAAAAAAAAAAGAAATTTTATTACTTGACATTACATTACGTTACAGTCCAAATCATGTAGCCGACACACATTCTGCAAACAAACTTGGAAACCAGTAAAGTGTTTCTTTAGTATCTTGAGTATCAACCCACGCCAGACCTTCTTTTACCATATGATTGAGTGCATTTTGAGCTCGTGTGTCATTCCAACTGTAAAAAAGTAAATAAATAATAAATATTATAGTAAAAAAAATCAATATTTTCTAAATTTATTTTGATATTTGTCTCTTATTCTTATTTCATCGATTATTGTAGAAAATAATAAAAATTATAATATATTTCAATAACTCACCCTAAATCATCTGTTAAAATGCTCGACGATACCCAAGCTGTGCCCAAAGCATTAGCCTTCTGTAGAACCAATGTTTGATCCAAGTTCAGTTCACCTGGCACTGACTGTACTAACCATTTCCCTTTACCAATTGACACCACAGTGAACCTGTAATTTTATTTACATGTTTTTTTTAAATATACTGGTACCTTTAGCTTTTAGAATGTCTCTACACATAACATAAAACAATCATGTATTTAAAGTTTTTATACAAACAAAATATTCAATAAGTCTTCTTTCTTTTATCTACTGCAACATATAAAAATAATATTTACCCATTGCCAAAGATTCTCAACTTCTTTACAGCTGCTAACAAATCTTCATTTGTAATCTCTTGGTGCTTCTTGGCTTTACCTCTAGCAGCTATGAGCCTAGTTCTCAATTCTTCTAATGTTATAAGCCCTCCATTTTTGTAATTAGTAGCTAAACAAACTTCCACTATCTGGACTCCTAACTCATAATAGAAGTCTCCAATGCCTGGATGATATAAACATTCAAAAATTAAATCACACTGTATTATGATTACCAATTGTTTTGAATTCTCTATATTGAGTACCAATCAATTATAGAGAATTCAAAAAATGGTTTTGAATATTCCTTATAATTTAAATCTAGGAACAATACAAAGTATATAAAAATGATTGAATTAATTAGTACAATGGAATAACTAATAGTAATAAATAACTATACAAACCTAGAACAGACCAAAATCCCTTTCCTGATGCTAGTGGATCTACACCTATGGCTGCGCACATTTCTTGAAATTGTCTTCGAAACTGAGCGTTCTTTTTAATCTCATTCTTATGTTTAGTAGCAAAATCTTCGAGGTTTTCCCTAAAAACTTCGAGTTGTTTTGATAGTTGTTGGAACTGATTTTCTTGTATTTCTGAACCTTTTTCTCTATATTTCTCCTGCTCGAGCCTATGCTTTTGAATAGCACCAACACCCGCACGACGCCTCATTTTATCTAATATATTAATGAAGCTTGAAAGATATCTAGTTTTAATTATTTGTAAATTTGTACGCGAACTTTTTTGGCCTAGTCAAAAATCTTAATGTTAAACGTCAACTGTCATCCGAATCATATGTTCATTAATTGAATGAGACTAGTTTTTAGCAGATGATTTAGGTCATTATATATTTTTATTATTATTTTTACTTTACAGTAGATTTATTTTAGTATTAACGAAATAGTATACTACTTAATATATAATAATAGTTTATATCTTTTATAATTTATTATAAAAGAGTAAACTATTTTAATAAAAATTAAAATGAAAACAGCGCCATCTATGAATACAGATTATAAACTTGTACCTGGCTGATATTCAATCATCAGCATGGATGACAATTAATAAAAATCATCAGTAAAATAATGATAAATGAAATGTATGTGATTTAGAAACTAATTATTTCATTTTCCTTTACTTACTGCATTTTATATAATGTTTTTTTTTACTTTACTTGGAATCTAGTCTTACCTAATTTTAAAAATCCAAATATCATAATAAATGAAAAACATAGCTACCAATTCTTGAAACATAGCTTCTAGTCTCTGTTCTTCTAGCGCTAATTAGGGCCCCCCCAACGTCCGTTCACCTTGTCGTGGTGGGGGATCTCTGTAGTGACCGACAATCCAGTCCACCCAGGCGCAAAGTTAAGAAACGCACAGAGAGGTGGTCAGCATAGAGTATATTGCTACATATATAAATAGTGGGCAGGTTTGAGGTGGCCCACTTTGGTAGGCGGTGTGCCGTGCGGGTTGCTCCTGGTACTTCTTTGATAGCAGAGTGGACTGTGGAGCAACCCCATGGTTATTGTGGTCTGCTTTGGCAGACCTACCGTCAGGGCGTCGTAGTTGAGTGCGTAAGCGACCCTGCGACACCCCATTAAGACGGAGGAAGGTTTATTGGGTTTTAGTGGCTTTTCGAGCCGGTGAGTCCCACATAACCACCTGTATGTCTACAGGTGGAGGTGGTATGCGTAAATGCATTTCCCAACATTAAAAAAAAGCGCTAATTTAGAGTCTACAGCGTTCAAGTTGTTTTGTTGTTGTTTCACATAATTGTCATTTGCTGCCAATAAGATTTTATTTTCTCTGTTAAAAAATATAAACATTACTAAAATCCTCATCTGATCTGTAGTGATCTTGTTCTTTAAACATTACATCATATAATATAGATTGTATCACTAGTTAGTTACATTAAATTATTTTTAAACAAATGTTAAATTTATAAGTTGTATATAATTATATAATATAATAAAAATAAAAAAGTATATGTGACATCCCTGGTGGGGATCGAACCCACGACCTTTGGATTAGAAGTCCAACGCGCTATCCTCTGCGCCACAGGGACGAATGAATATAGTGTTGAAATAATAATTCATTATCTATAACTATTTTAAATCACTACTACAACATGTATTTATAAATACACACAGTGACACACTTCAACATGGATTTCTATGAAGTATTATTTTAAAGCTTATAATTTTAATATTTACTTATATTTTATTTTTAAGTTTTTTAATAATCATATAAACCTAATTCCTTAAATGGTATTAATTATATTATAAAACGTAATAATAACAATCTTTGGTGCCAATAGCAACCGGATATGTCAACAAATTAATGTCAGACAAAAATTAGTTTGGGAAGTTTGAAATTTCAAGTGGATTCATGATATAATTTACATTTTAACATAAAAATAAAATAAAAATCTGGTTAAATATATGTACTACGTATGTTAACAAAAGAGTATGGACTGTGCGATAGAAGACGAAACAAATTTTATACTAGATAATGATGATTTAAATGATATAGAATCCTCAGAAAATTTTCAAAAGTTTATACATGAGCTTTTTGAGCGAAATGGTGTACTGAATGACCTCAGAGCTTATTTGCGAGGACACATAGTGAACGTTTTAAAAAGTACGGAAACAGGTACAATTCTAAATATTTATACCTTTGTAAATAATTTGTCTTGTTGTTTTTGTTCATCTTATGAATTTTTATTTGTAAATTTTGTCTTGTACAAAATTTATGTACCTAAAAAAAATATAGTTATTTTCAGGGGATCCTCTAACTTGCCAGAAACATTTTACTCAACGCTTGGAATTATCATATCAAGCTTTAAATATACTTATAGCAGAATATTTACTTAGATTAGTAAGTAAAATGATTATTTTTGTTTAAAAATAAAATAATCATTTTATATTTAAAAATATTACTTATTTTACAGGAGTTTAGTTACAGTTTATCAGTGTTTATATCAGAAATACCTCTATCGAATATGGTGTTTGAGTTTGCTAGAACAATACTTAAAGCTGCGGACACTAATTTAACAGGACTTCGTTTTGGTGAATGCGATGTTTGGTCTATTTTAAATTACTTAGGTAATATCTGTTATTTCATTTATTACAAAAAATGTTTAATTCTCAAAATAAAATTATTTTTTTACAATGTACTTATTACTGTGAAATTAAGACAGATCAATAAAGACTTTTAGTTTATTTAACTGAATGTCCTTTAAAAATTTAAATTACCTGAATAAAAGTTACTTTTAAAATTTAAACTAAAGAAAAATGATTTATTCATTCGGTATTCTTTCTATATTTAATTAAAAATGTTTGCTTTTTTTCATGGAAAGTAAAAACAAATATTTTTCTGTATAACTTAAATATAATAATATTATTATTATATTGTTAACTACTTTAGGTATAAAATGTGATTCAGAGCATGCATCTAAAATTGTCGAGTTATACAATTCAAGTCAAGAATCACCTCTCTTATTATGTATTCTAAAATGTCTAAAATTATATGAAAAAACACCAATTAATATTGAACCAAGTAAGTATATTTTAACCACTTTTGTAATCTAAGTCATAGATATTTTTCTAAAACTATTATGTTTTTCAGTTTAATGGTATAATTTAATTATGTTGTTCATATAATTATTTTTTTTTGTATTGTAATTAATCTCTTAATGCAAAATATGAGAAATGAACAAGAAAATATTATTTTGTATTTCGGTAATTATGAATAATTACTGGCTTTTGTGCATGACTATGTCACAAGTGCCTTCAATATTAATAAAATTATTAAAATACATTATACACTAGCGACCCACAGCTCCGACCGTTGCAAATCATATAAACAATTAAATGTAATAAACAAGTTTTGGTAAATCTTCAATTAATTTAAAGTTCATACTCTGCTATTACCATTTTATTTGTAATAATAAAAGTAAAAACTAAATTATAGCAACTCTCTATGATTATATTTATAGCCCACAAAGTTGATAGCCAAATTATAATATTTAATATTAAACAATTTTTAGGTCATACATCTGATGAAAATGTATCCAGTGATAAAACTACAGATTTGGACACCGAAGATGAGAAAAATAAAAAAAGGATACATAAAAATATGTTAAATAAATGTAAACATTATGCATTTTGCAAAACTTGTCAGAGCAAAGTGAAAAGGTTGAAGAGTAGATATGAAAAGAAACGAAATAAATTAGAAAAGGTAAAAAAAAAAGCTTTTTCTAGTATTTAATCAATTTTAATTTTTCTAATATACAATTTACTTTTTTTAGACTTTGATTAAAATAAATAAAAAACTTTTAAAACGATATATTTTATTAATTTATACGTACTATTTAATTGCAGATTGCAAAAAAAATCAAGTACAAATGATTCAAATGTCATCAGTTTCATGAAAACTGTTGATGTTGTGGAACAGACTCTAATTGATGAGGTTACTCATGTTTCACAATTAATATTTTTAAAACTTACAAATTTGTCATATCTGTAAAAAAAATCCACATTTTTTTTATTTTTTTTTTTTTGTAAACAGACACAAATAGGGTAGATCAGAGATAATCTCTGATATATTTTAGCTTTCATGATTTAGATAGTTTTAATTAACATGTTTCTTATAATAAAACTAAAGCAGTTATCTTTTTCAATTGTATATAAGGTATAACAATTTTATTTTACCTTATATTGTCAGAATAACGCAATTTTTCGTCAACAAATTTGTATTATTTACATGAATTAAAATACAAGAAATGTCGTTTAATATTTTCAACCGACTTCAACTTTCTCAATTCGGCTGTATTTTTTATTATATAATATTTCAATGCTATTTTTTATGTATAATAATTATATAAATAATTATAATAAAAAAGAAATCTAATATTGCTTTTCTAAATTCCTATAAGATGTTCGAACAAGTAAAAACAGTGTATGAAGGAGAGGTAGAAATGATGAAGTCAGATGAACAAAAGAAAATAAAGCGTTCAATAGCGAAACACGCGCTGGAGTTGCAGCGACATAAAGAACAGGTGAGGTTTCATTAGTTATACTAGTATATTGTATCAAGCTTGCAGGATCATTTTTTTTCCACACATTGTTATTATGCCCATTTCAAAATGTTAAAGAAGTTATTTTCCCATTTTTATTCTCTATATTAGAAGTGGGGTAAATTTAAAAGGGAAAACCCTTTTCCCAAAATAGCTTTGACTTACGGACAGACGGATATGACGAAATTATAAGGGTTCCGTTATTGCTTTTCGCCATTAGAATCCTAATAATATAAATGTAACTTATATTTTCTTTTCAAAGCTAACATTTAAATCTTCCACCACAGCTAGAAGAGTCATACCGAGCCAAAGTAGAGAAGTTAGAAGAGAATGTGAAACAGAAGAAGAAGTTCTTGTGGGGTCTGGCGCGGGCGCTGCGGGACCAACACCAGAGCATGGCCACCGCCATGATGGACGTTAAGTTAGAAACTGAGAGATTGGTAGAAAAGGTAAGAAAGAAAAGGTTGCTTGGTAGCCCAATGGTAACGCGCTCGCTTAAGAAATCGAGTGAAGTGGGTTCCAATCCCGGGTCTCGCACCTCTGATATTGTCATGTGCATCAATCATTTCTAACTGGATTACCACTTGTCTTACGGTGTAGAAAACCGTCGTGAGGAAACCTGCATATTCTGAGAGAACCTAGCAAGTTTTCGAAAGACATGTGAAGTCCGCCCGCACTTGGCCAGCGTGGTGGACTATGGCCTGATCCAGCTCGTACTGAAGGGAAACCCACCCCCAGCAGTGGGACGTTAAAAAAGAGAGGAATATCTACATCTATGTAATGAGCCTAGGTAAAAAGTTATAGAAAGAAAAGTTGTGTATGTTATTTTTACCCGACTACGGCAAAGGAAAGTGGTATGGTTTTAGCAATCTATGTTTGTTGTTTGGATTTGTGTGTGTTTCACAATAGCGCCTAAACTGAATATTACTGACCTGATTTTGATGGGTGTCAATCTCAATCGATTCGTTATTATTGTTCGGGTCAGGTAGGCTAGTTTTTGCTATAATAAATAGATTTTTTTATTAAATAAAACTATCTTTTCGGATTATTTCGCGGATTTATTTTGATTTTTGGGAGAGACTGTTTTTGAGAGATTTTTTTTCTTTAATTTTTCTTTAATTTTTTCCATTTTTTCACCTTATAAGACACGACAAAGTGAAAGTATAATGATAGTATCAAATCATTTGTTGTAATTTGTATTTTATATGTGTACTTATAAAGTCTTCGACCAATATTAAGATATTAACAATTAGGGGCCATTCATTAATTACGCAAGGACAAAATTTGGCCATTTTTAAAATATTATATAAAAAATTACGTAAGAATCTCTTTCTCAAACCACCGAGATAAGGGCATGTAGAGATTTTGAGACCCCTCTCCCTCAGGACCCTTATGTAATTATTGAATTATTTAAACAATTAAAATTAACGCTTTAACTTAACAATTTTCAGGAAAACAATCTGAAAAAACAGTTAGAAGAAGCTGAAAGAATGCTTAAAAATAAAGGCGAGAAAATGCACAACCAAATAGTTCAAGAAATAAAAATATTAGCCGATCACTTACAGTCTATGAAGACGGAGCGAAAAGCGTTAGACAAAGAACGAACCGATTTGGATAATCTAAAACAAGTGTGTGACAAAAATGATAGGTTTCTAGCAGAATATAAAGATAGCAAAGAAGATTTGAAATTACATTACGTTTCATTGAAAGAAGAACTAAACGTTCTAAAGAAGTGTATAGAAGATAAAGCAGAGTCTAAATGTGTAGTAGAGAAAGGCACGGGAATGGAAGAGGGGAATGGAGGAGTGAAGAGTTTAATGAATAATGGAGTTAGTGTGAGAAATGATGATTGTGAAGATGATAAACTTAAACATCTAGTGATCAATGATTTTAAAAAGAAGAATGTTAATTTTAGTAAGGTATGTTACGTTTTGATATGTATAAATATGTATATAAATTGACTTTTTAATTTAGTTTTAAAAGTGTAATTGTATAACGTTTTTATCTACGAGTAGGTTATTCAAAATTTATTATTATTTGTGCATTTTTTTTTTCTTCAAAGAGAGACAATAGCATTCCCAAGGAGGGTTGACGTCAGGCAGGCGGCCGGTCGTAAAACTTTTGCAACTTAAACAGTGATAAGAATGAGGGAGATATTGGCTCAGTTTGTAGTGACTCTACTTACTGTCCCGTCGTTCGCTGGTTCGAGTCCCGCTAGGGGCATTCATTTGTGTAATGAGCGCGAATGTTTGTACTCCAGACATAGGTGTTTATATTTATAATATTTGTGTATTTAAAGTTATATATGTGTAGTGTATCAACTATCTGGTACCCATAACACACGTTTCGTAGCTTACCATATACATATTTATTATTTATTAAAGTGGTTTTAGGATTTAAGACTCGTTATTTGTAAGTTTGGTTTTTATTATCTAATAATAATTACACTTTACAGTCAAATCAAGAACTGAAACGTCAATCTTCTAGCAGTGAGACGGATGTGCAAGAAGCGAGTGGCGCCCACACTTTGCGGGCACTGAGAGAAGAGAATGAGAGACTGAAGAAGTTTGCTGTTCAGGTATTTAATTTTTACGATTTATGCTATATTTAATTTAGATAAAAAGTTATTTTTTTATATAATTATGCATTTTCGAAATTAAATATGTATTCATTTATGTATGTGCATATTAGTTTGTGTGTTCTCTAAATGTTTCTTCTACGCTACGTGAGTTCTCGTAAACATAAGGGATCGAATCACTGTTTTTTTTTCATGTGAGTATATTTTATTTATTTATTTGCTACTCCAGCTTTACCTTTGTATTAAATTTCACCCAAATCCGTCCAGCTGTTTTAACGCGTATGAGTATCAAACATGCACGCACACATATGAACTTTCGAATTTGTAATAACAATCCTATTGTATTATTAAAAAATTTAAGGCAGTGGTAGCCCAATGGTAACGCGCTCGCTTGAGAAACTGAATGAATCGAGTTCAAATCCCGGGTCTCGCACCTTTGATATTCTCATGTGTGAATCAATTTCCAACATGATTACCACTTGTCTTAACGGTGAAGGAAAACATCGTGAGGAAAGCTGCATGTCTGAGATAACCTAGCAAGTTTCCGAAATACATGCTCAGATTTAAATAATTATTGTAGCAAAGCGAACACATAGACGCGTTGTCCCGGGAGAGGAACGCGCTACAACACCGAGTTTCCAGAGCATTCCCTGCTACATTCATACCTCAGTACTTCAATACTAACAGGTGGGCTTGTTCTTTATAAAAATATTAGCTCTTACTCGCAACTTTGTTCATGTGGTAGGTAAGCTGATATATTATTATTATTATAAGCCACAAAGAACAAAAAACATAAAAATACTATTTTTCTAATCTGGCCTGCTACACACTTGATTTAACAGAATGAGGTCTGTCGGGTTAGATAGTAACATAATAAAATTATTGAAATGCTTATATATCTGTGTGTCCAGAGTGCGTCTCGCCGGGGGAGAGCAAGCGAGCAAGTCCGCCGAGCATGTGCCCTTCATCGGGAAGGACAGACACATGGATAGTAATCGTCGGTTAGTTTATCTATACTTTTATATTAATTTTGTTAATAGGAAAGATTTTTTTGTTTGTTTGTACCGAATAAGCTCCGAAACTACTGAACCTATTTAAGTGATATTTGGTAAGAAGATAGTTTGAGATCCTGGAAAAGACATAGGATAGTTTTTATTCCAGAAATCATCATTTAGGGGGGTGAAAATGTGGATGAAAGTTGTTATGGGCAAGCAGCCTAGTTACGAACCCGAATGAAGTGAAGGTGAGTCGCTAGTCACAGTATAATTATCCATACAGTAGACATAGTTCATTGGTTTTAACTAAAATGCTTTAAAATGTAATCTAAGGTATCAATACACACACACGCGCGCACCCTATTATACACTCACACAGACACTCCCATACGCATACACTCACACAAACTTTAGCATTTATAATTATTGTATTGTGACTAGTTTTTTCTTTCGCAAATACGCCTATATTATATATACATTAGTTGACCTGGATAACCAGCTATCATCATACCAAATCTCTCTAGTGGTTTTCTCGTGATGCGTTCCCAGACAGACAGACAAAAATTCAAAAAACTACAGATTCCGCCTCGGCAACGATAATAATGACAATTTCAATAAGATTTTACAAAAAATACTTAATGTACAGATTCGACACAGAATATTATTGTATGTATAGAATATAGATAGATATACTGTACATTGATAAAGCGACATTATTCCGTATAAGTACTAATTTTTAAAAATCATTAAGACAAATGGTTGAACGATGTAAAATCGATACGTTGCAGCGCCATCTAGTGGCGAGTGTCGATGTGTGGTTGCGAGTCAGAAACCCAACAGTATTTTATTTACTTAAACTCAAAATATAATAGGACATTTAACTTTTAATATAATAACTTATTGCTTTGTAAATATAAAAATGGTCGTTTCCAGGTATTTAATAAACCAATGGCGTGCACTTGGACACCGGCCGCCCTCCGCCGCGACTCATACAAATGTACCAAGTATGTATATAAGTTATATTACTGAAAAGTTGCATTATTATTAAAATTTCTTATTTGATAAGAACTGTAATGTATTCGTTAATTGTTATTTCCAAATCTAACTTAATTTAGAAAGATAATTTAGGTAATTTTATCTTTACTAAGTAGATATATATTACATTGGCTAATTTTAGAAAAGAAAAATATAACAAAAAAATATTTTTTTTATGTTTATTTTATGCTTGCCGAACTAGTGACGAATTTATAATAATTAATTACAATGCAAGCTTTAAAACAATAAAACATACTATCAACTTGCCAAGTGTGAGTTTCAATCTTTTTTAAATAGTATGTAGTAATGTAGGCTACGTTATTAATAATTCGAATTCGTATATGATTGTTGTATTGAACCATTTTTCTCCTATTATTCACAGGTTTCATTCCCAAATAAAACCATTCAAATATTATAGATAAGACAAATTAGAGTTTTATTATACCTTTTTTATATTAATATTTAATTATTATACAAAAATATATAATAATAATTGTTTGTTTACAGCTCCTGAACAAATCGTACAATCAGCTCCAGAATGCATCCCTGAAAATAATATTTCAGATAATATTGAGATTGATGATGATGATCGACGATCCTTACAGACGAACATTAGGTAGGTATAATTTTATAAGTTAAATATATTGTATGTATCGAATTCAGCCCTTTTTAACGTCCCACTGCTGGGCACCGGCCTCCCTTTACTACAAGGGGGAATATATATGAGCCATAGTAATAGTGATATTTGTACTATAATTATATTTATATACATATGTATGTATTTAAAGTTATATATATGTAGTGTTTCAACTATCTGATATCCATAACACAGGCCTCGTAGCTTACCATGGAAATAGATGGTGCTGTGTATTAATGTCCCAATATATTTATTTATTTATCACTAGTGATATGTTGTTATTTTTAGTGAAGTTGCTCCAGCAAGCCCTGTCGTGAATATAAACAAACCAAGAGAAAAGAGTCCTAAATCTGTCTCAAGAGAGGCGAAGGAAAAAATACGGAAGTAAGTTATATAACAATTCACAAATGGCATAATACTTTTTATTAAGGTCACTGTAGTACTCTACAGTCTAATATCATTTAAAGAAATGAATGAAAATATTTTGTTTTCCCTGGATAATCGATAGATGGCGTTTACTCGAAAGCTAACGAACTATTTATTTAATAATTGCAATAATATTCAAAATATTAAAAAAAAAGCAAAAATAGAAACAGATTTGGATTTTAAGATGAATCTGTATTGGGGATGTGTAACTCATAAACAGCAAATAACTCCCTTTTTAAATAGAAAGTACAAACTTATTACCTACCAGCGGATTTTCCGATCATCGGTATGATAGTAAAGTTAATGGAAATTAATGGGGTTTTTTCTTTTTTCTATGGAAACTAGCAGCCCTCCGCAATTTTATTTTTTTTAGAATTAACGTTGCATTATGCAATTTAAGGATAGATACAGTTCACTTAAATAAAACCAATTAGTCATTAAAATTTGTTTAACTATATGTAAAATAAAATAATTTAAAAGTTTGCGATTCAACGCCATCTATCGTCTGTATAAGAAAACAATAATAGTTCAAATTAAAGCTGTCTAATTGCTTTGTGTGGGATCTGTATTAGTATAGTATTTTGTAATCTATAATTATTATTATATTCTAAAAGTCACTTGTAATAAAATATTTAATTTCGTATATTTTATTCAAAGTAACAGTACAACAGAGCATCCGCCGATATTTCGAGATAAGAGCCCAAATGCGACCCTTCGAGAAGCAAAATTGAGACTTAGGAAGTTGGAAATAGAAGCCGAAGCCGTGGAGAAGTCTTACTTGGACTTTAAGAAACGACAATCTGAACTAAAACTGTCGAAGAGCAATGTGACTGTGTCTAATGAAGCGATATTAGATGAAGTTAAACGTTTAAGTGAGTTATTTGCAACGATAATTTAACTGACAATCCTAATATTATAAATGCGAAAGTAACTTCTGTCTGTTTTGTCTGTCTATTACGTTTTCACGCGTAAACTGCTGAACCGAACTGGTATAGAGATTGATGGAATCTTGGAGAAGGACGTAGGTTACTTTTTGTCGTAAAAATAAAACTTGAGATGGGTGAAATAGGGTTGAGTTTGTATTGGAAACAAATCATTTCTCAATTTGACGACATAAAGATTCGTTATGTGCTATCATTTTGGTAAGAAATAAAGAATTCTTCGGCGTTTATGACTAATTTAAGTAAAATAGGAGATGATTTCAAGTTTTTTTTTATGTTAAGCACATTACACCAACAGCCTACTTTTCTATAACTAATAATTCTCTTCATCAATGTAATAGTTCGAATATCATTTTGTTCACTTGGTGTTTTTATTAAAAATGAATTATATAAGTGGTATATTCTTGAGAACATATTACTATCATAAAATTATATTGTCATATAATTTTAAAACGTTAAATAAATTTTATTTGAATAGCATAAAGGTTCAAAATTAAATTAAATTTCTAAATTTCTAATTCTTTCAGATATAAAGCAAGGAAAAATTCAGCAAAAGTTTAAAGAAAACTATAAAATATGTGACATAAGTCTGAAGGAATCACCGGAATTAATAAAAAAAGACTTCGATAAATATTTACGTGAATATCAAACTAAATATGATATCGGTCGAATACATTTTCCTAACAAAAATGCAATACTTCAAAAAGTTAAACCAATACCGTCGTCTTATACAAAATTCAATGATAAAGTTAACAAAGATGCGAAAAATCCCAACTATTTAGAAACACCAATAACTGAGTTTAGAAAGTTTTATCAAAATGGCAATTCTGATAGGATTATAAATAATAATTTAAGCGACGTCGAACAAATTTATGAAGAAAACAAGGAATATCAAAAAAGAAGTCCAAACACGAAATGTAACGAACGTGCCGAATTAGAAATATTAAGAGATGATATTAATAAAACTAATAATATTACTAAAGGGTTACCTGAACTTGTAGTTCCTGTTGAAAACAATGAAGAAATTCACCAGTTAAATATTAAACAAGACATAGGAATCGAAAATAATGTAAGCAATATAAAACTAGAAAGTCTTGAGAGCACTGCAGTATTAGAAGATAAAAACAAAGTATCAGAAGGTATAAGTATTAAAGATGTAGTTATTAATTTATCTGATGAAATATTGAACTTAGAACAAAAAACTGAGAAAACAATTGAACACTTACAAAACAATGTAGAATTAAATGATTTAAAAACAAATACACTCGAAAATGATGATGCGATTCAAAACAAGGAAAATCTGTTAATAGTAGAAATTGAAAATGTACGCGATGAAAACAGTATACAAGTGACTAAATCTAACGATTTATTACTAATAGTTGAAAGTGCTATAGATAACAGAGAGATAGAAAACCAAAAAAATAATGAAATATCGCCTCAAATGACCATCATTATCAGTCCCAAAACACCTAAAAATATAGATATTAATGAAAATAAAATGAGCTCTCCAAAAAAAATAGAAAAGATAACATATCTATATAATAATACTTCAAACGCAATTTTTCATCCGAAAGATGATGTACCTAGTGTAGAATTATCAAAGAAATCGGAAGATTCAAGTAAAATAGAGAATAATAGTGAAGTATATGGAGACGATTTCTCCGCAGACTTCGGCAACAGCTCTCCCATCTCTCTGCCGAAACAGTCCGAACTGGATGATGACCACTTTTGGGATTCTTGATTTTTTTTTCTATAGAACTTTGTTTGTTTTTAACAATTCCATTTGTGTCATTTATGATTAAATTAATGTATTTATTTTAATTTACATTTTTATTTATGCCTAATATCCAAATAGATATATAGTAATTATTAGTAATTTATAAATTACTTCAAAATTATTCTTAGAATCAGTACTAGTAAAAATTTTAGTATAAATAAGATTTTTAATTTATACCTAATATCCAAACGCATATCGATATCCGATATTCGCCATTTTTAAGTTACCTTCTAAAAATGAGAATCAATTTTATTAAGGGGTATATTAAAAAAAAAACGATAAACCATTCATAATTTATTTATCTAATCACAAATCGAAATATAAAACATACATTTATATATATACAATTCTGAATATAAAAGTACAAATACCCTCCGAAGGCGACGCGAGACAGTCCACAGTAAATGCGTAACACGAATGCGATATTGTCACAAACTGATATATTGGAATTGTACGGTTCAAATGCAATTAAATTCTATTGGTGGTGATTAATTTCCATACCGGCTTTTTTTGGAACTAACGAACGCAGTTACAGCACCACAGATTACATTGATATTATAAAACAACTAGCGACTTAACCTGGCTTCGCTCTAGGTATGTTTTAACGTAACCTAGGTATGTTCTAACTTTTTTTGCGGAAACTTAATTCTTTTTCTAAAATAAAATTGCCTTAGTTACTCCTTATAACATTAGCTATCTGTCAGTGAAAGTTCCGTCAAAATCAGTCCAGCCGTTTCGAAGATTAACCGGAACAAACAGACAGACAAACATAAAAATTTAAATTTATGTTTTGCTCTTATAAGTATCGTATATAGTTCCATATGCATTTAGTATAAAGCTGTTGTTTTGATATTACAAACAGACACTTCAATTTTATTTATCTGTATAGACGTATAGATAAGTTTTAATTACTTTATTGCCTGTGGATACTTTGTTTGCTTTTACACATGTGCTAAAAAGTTCTTCCACTTGCCGATAGGGAAATTGCACACCGGTAATATTCACTGCCATTTTAACATCAAGATGTCACGAGTTTTATTATACTCCTTTACTTTTATAGTTTACTAGTTATTGACAATTTATTTTGTATACTTGTTATAACATATTTGCGTATAATTTATCTCGAACCAACAAAATATGAAGATACAAATCTTACAATTATTTTCGCTATTATAAAGGTGTAAAATTCGTTTGTATATAGGGTGTAAGTATTAATAACTGACTAATTCTACGATAAATATTATGTTTTTTTTAATAATCCAATGTAACACCTGACAAATGTATACATACACCTACCAAAACTAATCACACAAAATAAATTCTTATACAATATTTTTAAAGATATTTTGTTAGAACGAGATTTCTGTGATCATCTTTTACTTTCATTTATACACAAAAACCTTTATGATAAAATACTTTATATAATAGGTCCTTTCAATTTTTTAAAACTATAACCCAAAAGTATAAACAAACACCCAAAGAGTCATCATGACAGTGAATAAAACAAAACTAAACAAAACATTCAAATAAACCACTCTCCGAATAAAACTAAATCAATTAACGAATACAATTATTACTTATAACTTGTACAAAAAATCTTCCATCGACTGAATTGTGAAATTATAAAATATGAGATTATCAATAATATATTCTAAATCATTGTCGAATTTAAATTTTAATACTATTGTGATGAATGATTAATAATAATGTTGCAATATTATTTAAGATTTCAATGATCTTATTTCACCGTCCGATCTCCTTCGTGTCTTCTCTCAACTGGCACGTTTTGAAACCATAAACAAGAAAATTAGATTGAATTGTTTAAAATATTGTAGGATGATACATTTTAAATAAAACTATCTTCTCAAAGGCGTTATGTACTTGTTACAAACAATGTCCGAAGTATATAACGACTTTGAGACGTTTATAACCTTAGTCTCTCCCGTGACCATAATTGATGCTGTAAAGCATTCAAAACGTCGGGAACCAAAAATCACAATAAATCCGCGAAAAAAATCCGAAAGGATAGTTTTATTTAAAATGTCAAATATTCGCATAAATCTAAGAAAGTATTAGGATGCCACATTATCAGTTATTACTAATTATAAATATTGTTAACAAAAATGCCAATTTTCATAATGTCTTAATGAAACGCCAGTTTTGATACTATAATGTCTATATATAAGTTACATGTAACGCAATTTTGTTACAACAATTCGGACCAATTTATGAATTCTTTAGATTCTTCTTTTATTTTTCAATAAAAATAAATCTATTATCAAAAATAATTAAGCAACATTCATTAGTATGTTAAATTTTATTATTATTATACGCAAATTATAATATAAAATATAAAATGGATGCAAATAAACAAATGATAAATTAAAAACTAGCGGTACTATATATTTTGTACAGAAATGAATACAAAAGGTTTCTTCCCACTAAAATGTGATTAATTAACAAATATGTCAGTATTAAATTAAACTTATAATACACATGAACACTTTGAACGAAGTAGAACAAACTCCTAATGAAACATTAGCTAATATAACATTAAGATATAAAAAATTAAAAATATATATATTGTATGAATCATTTTTTTAAACCTAGTATATACTTATTGTTTGTTTAAAACTAATTCAATTAATCATTGAAGTGGGAAGATACCTTTATCACGTTTAATATGAATCATAGGGATTCAAGCATTACGTAAGTAGAATTTTAGTAATTATTAACCCCTCCCCCTTATCAGCAAAACTTAGCAAATCTCTTACTTCCCCACTCCTGTGCTTACGTAAACAATATTACGTTTTAATTATTTCGGGAAATCCCTGAACATGCTTTTCGTTTTTGAGCATAGACAAGTAGGGTTGTCATGTGCGTTCTGAATATATTGGTTTGACAAATCAAAATATAGTAAATTTTAATTAATTATTTTAAATAAATTAATATTGATGACGTAATCACCATCCAGACCCCTCTTCCCTTATAAATAAAAGACCCCTCCCTCTCCCCCTTGGTTCTTACGTAATACTTGAATGGCCCGATATTACAAATCTAATATTTCTTATTAAGCAATTTGCCAATATTAAAATTATTTGTATTAAAAATGTTATCACGGGTCACTAAAAGCAAAATAATTAGAAACTTTCATATTTTGACACACTGTGTGTCTGTACGTATCGACCATATCATCGGCATAAACTGAACTATTTAAAGTTAGGAAAAGAAATCAAAATAAAATATTATTGCCTCATACAATTAACCATTCAAAATATATAGCTTTTTAAAATATCATTGGCACTATCAAAATTCTTTTATTTGTTTAAAAAAATACTGTTTCATATTCTGTCAGGCACATATATTTTTTTTTAATTTCTTTTTGTAATATTTTATGAGTTATGTCGATTCATGGTACATTATTAAACAGCAAATAATGTAAAAAAATTCAAAATAACGCTAATCTATCTTTTTTCATAAAGAAGTCCTTATTATAAAAACAAATACAGTACAAATGTGAATCTTTAAATCTAAGCTCTACTATGAGTTAATATGATCGATACACGTGATCGAGCGCGTTATATTCGAAAGTAAATTAACATGTCAAAAAATATTTTCGTCATTAAATAATTAATATGAAAATTAAATTACAAACTTCTAATCTTTGTTATTATTAATCAAAATATAGATGTCATTATAAATATCTCAAACCGATTACATTTAAATACAATATTTACTACAGCTCTTAATGTCAAAACGACAATGAGTGTAGTGAAGTAACATAAAATATTAACTCATAATAGTAAAATGTGTCATTACGAATGAATAAAAGGCAGTAAGTAACAAATATTAAAAACCAAAACTAACGTTGTGTCCGACGTTTTTAGCTACTTTCGCGGATTTCGGTGAGTTTGGTCCCGTCACTCTCAGCCAGTTTGATACCTGAAATAATATAAAGAAATAATGAATATTATCGATACATAATTAAAGTTTACGTTTTCATTATAATTAAACATTAAGAATTACATATTTTAGTAATATTTAAATTAGTCTATCCAGGAAACTGTATATAATTATAAAAAGTCAAATTGGTTATAATATGATAATGAAAACTTGAAGTAATCCTATATAGAAGAAATGAGCCTAAAACATTATTTTAATAATAATCATTATATTTAATTTAATAAGCCATTATACATTCATCCTATCATTTACTCGCACATACAAGCACGCACGTACACACAATATATACATACATTCGTTCACACACTCACAAACGCACACTTTTTTTTTAAATTTCTCATTTCTTTCACACACCTGCAAGGACACGGCTCGGTCAGGCGTGTCGCGCGATTGGTCACGCAGGTGGTCGCGCGAGTGGTCACGTATGTGGTCACGTATGTGGTCACGTATGTGGTCGCGCGGGTGGTCGCGGCGCGGCGTGCTGCAGTGCGGGCGCGGGCTGTCGGGCCACACACACACGCAGGACGTGTCGCCCGCACACGCTTGCCATCTGTACGTAATACGAGTAGTTTAGTGATTGTATTTTTACTGTACGTACACACACTGCACACACATAATTATATTTGAAGACACGGTTGGCTCAGTTTGTAGTGACCCTGCTTGCTGTGCCAGCGGTCGCGGGTTCGAGTCCCGCTGGGGGCATTCATTTGAGTGATGAGCACGAATGTTTGTACTCCTGTCATGTGTGTTTATATTTATAATATGTATGTATTTAAAGTTATACATGTGTAGTGTACCAACTATCTGGTATCCATAACACAAGCCTCGTAGCTTACCATGGAACTAAATGGTGCCGTGTGTTAATATCCCAACATTTATATTAATTTATATTACATTCCCTATATTTAAACGTATACTAAGTAAATATCCGCACCCGTCTCTCTCGGCGGGCGTGTACAGCGCGACGGTGTGCCGCCAGCGGTACGTGTTGGGGAACTCGTCGGCCGAAATGTCGATCCCGTTCAGAGCCTCGAACACCAGCCGGTCCATTTTGGTCGGTTCTTCCCTGGAAAATGTTAAATACTCATTAATATACAAAAACTCAATATAAACAATAAGCGTCTCAAAAGTGTCCTCAAAAAGAAGCGCACAATTCGAAATTGAATTGCGCTTTTTTTTCAAATGTTGTTTCGTTTAAAAAACTACTTTATGTGATGTGCGTAAGTTCGAATTTATGTTAAGATAATTAAAACTTTTGATTTTGATTCTTTGGTTTGACTTAACTTCACATATCGACGCCACATCTTGAAGAGATCTGTTAAGAAATGTGTACCTATTTTTATATCTCTATATAAATGCTATTAATATTATTATAGAAGTTCGTCCATGTAGCTATTTAGTTTATTCATATAAAAATCTTCAGAGACAAAGCTTTATAAAAACACGTAACGATAAGTACACTACTACATAAGACGACGCGATGTGTTTTTCGAGCGTTCAGATTATTTAAAATTGTCAACAGCTCGAGCTTGAACAAACCGGTTTTGTCAACAGACAGAGTCACTACTAGTTAGCATTGCATATAATGTTTCTTACTACGAAAACCTCGGTACGTTAGATAAGCTAACACTTGTCCGATTTTTGTAGGATACCCTTAAAAAATCCAAAATAGGTTTTTTTATCTCTCTCTCTCTAAAGCATACCACTGCGATCATATTGTGATAGAAAGGCTTTACCCATATATGAAGGGCTCTGTGAGGGCTCGATCGCTAGCATCTTGCATAGAATCCTCACTGTCATGTTCTGAAGCCGTCTCATAGCCGTCTGAGTTGGAGTTCGATGCCGTAGAGTCGTCGTCTGAGATCTGCAAAAATGCATCTTTTTTTAAAGTCGAATAAAAATCATATAACTTTTGACACGCCAGTCGTGTACCTATAGTGAAGTGTCATATTCCTAATGTCTACGCATCGATCAAAAAAGTACTATATACACAATCCCATGCTAAAGTTCTCTTAAAACTATCACCAATTGTATTTAGGTAATTATCGTAGTTGAAATAAATGTACAATAATGGAAATCGAACTTTAAATACAATGCTTAAAGTTGTCTTCACAAAAAAAATTGCCCTAATGGTCCCCTTTAAATCAGGGGTGTTGGTTGTATTGGCATAGCTACGACAGTGTCTACATAATACATTCCAGCATATAAAACGGACAATAATAGTTCCAAGTGCAAGCCGAACCTCTGCGTCCATGACGAGGCACTTGTCGACGTGGAGGCGGCAGCGCGCGGCGTCGCCGCCGGGGGAGTTGGCCGCGAGCGCGCGCGCGCCGCCCGCCGTCGCCTTGCCGTCGCCTGCGGGCAAAGCCACTCACTATATTAATATTATTAATGCGAAAGTAATTACTCTTGTCTGTCTGTCTGTTACATTTTCACGCTTAACCGATTTTGATGATATGGTATGAAGTTTGAGACACTGAGAAGAAGATAGGAAAGTTAGTATAGCAAAAATCATCCCTTAAGAGGGTGAAAAAAGGGGTGGAAATTTGTATGGGAAATCAATCATTTCTCAAGTAGGGGTAATAAATCTCATCATACCAATGTATATACATAATATTATATAGTACTAGCGGCTCACCCTCGCTTCGCTCGGGTTCACCTCTAGAAAAGCGTCTAGCACCTCTGATATTGGCCAGCGTGGTGGACTATGGAGGCCCGTGCGTGTGTTAAAAAGGGCTGAATACAACATACATACATACATACAAAAGGTACCCTAAATGTTGACTCGAGTAATAAGTTATCACTTCACCAAATTTCGTTGAAATTGGTACATTACTTTTCGCGTGAAACGCGCACACAAAAACAGACAAACAGACATGCAGGCAAATAGACAAACAGACAATTCTTTTAATAACTATTGTTTTGGGGTCTATGCCTCGGTGGTGTAGTGGCTAGCATGTATCGGGTCGGGCCAAGTTTAGTTATTGAGTCTTCCTGTATAGTAAGTCTCAGTAACAGCCCGGAGTTGGGAAGTTGGCGGTGTTTCACCCCCGTGCCTCGGAGAGCAAGTAAAGCCGTCGGTCCTGCGCCTTAACTCTCACCACACAACACGGTCGTGTCGAGTGGTCGTCCCACCGGAGTATGAGAGTGATAGGAATAGAGAGTGCACTTGTGTCTGCGCGTACACTTGAGCACTATAATATCTCCTGCGCAGTTGGCTAATCTCATTGAGATTGGCCGCCGTGGCCGGAATCGGCTAGGAGAACATCATCATCATCATGTTGTGTACATAATACGTTACAAATAAACAAAAACATCTATCCCACGGGAAAAGTACATTTTTCCGGGATAAAAAGTTACGTATTTGTTATTCTGATGTATGAACTATATTATTGTAAAGTTTCATCAAAATCCAATCAGTGGTTTTTGTGTACTAAGCTGTATAAGTTACTATACTTTTTTTGACTATCCCACGGAAAATCTTTAATTTTCCGGGATGAAAAGTAGCTGATTTGTTTTTGGCATGTATGAACTATATTATTGTAAAGTTTCATTAAAATCAAATCAGTAGTTTTTGTGTACTAAGATGTATAAGTTGTTATAGTTTTTTAACTATCCCACGGGAACCCTTTAATCTTCCAGGATGAAAAGTATCTAAGATGTTGCTCGGGCATATAAGGTACCACCATGCAAAATTTCATTTAAATAGGTCCAATAGATCCGGAGATTAGCCCGTACAAAGAGAAAAACAGATAAACAGCTCGCTCGGGTTCGTCTATACATACGAATATGTTGTATTATCTCTTTAACCATTTGTCCAAATTATATGCAGTAAAAGGGAAAAGTCTTTTATTTTAAACATTTTAGACGATAAAATATAGTCTATCTATTCCATACTAAGCATCAAGACATATCTAAGGACAAACCCGAGCAAAGCGAGCGATAGAAACTAAACGAGTACTTATAAATAATAATTATTAAATGCGAAAGTTTGTGAGTGTCCCATCAACATACCACTCCACAAGCGGAATCGCAGACTTATCGAATTTTTTCGAGTCTGTAATACAGTTTAAGGTCCAGTGTGACTATATTGTTTTTAATACAAACACAGTTAACTCTTAGTTGAAATATAATATGATTGCATAATACAATACACTGAGATTGAAATAAATACTTATTAATAGAAAAGTGTGTTTTCCTGTTATTTCTTAATATTTGACAAAAAAATACTGAATGACGTGTGAATACATAAAAGATCACTTCACAACAGTCATAAAATAAGTTTGCAAAGTTGGAAATCGAACCCACGACCAAATACAATTTAAAAATAAACAAAAAAAGTACATACCAATATCGTGCTCAAACGTGAGACGTCGAATGAAACCCTCACTTTTGGGGCTCGTCGACAACATTGATCTGTTCTTTCTGAACGATGCATTTTTCTTGCTATTTCTCTCAAACGCCTCAACTTTCCAATCACATCGACACTTTGCTGCCTTTTCCCATATCTCCGCGCACTCCGACTCCGAAACCGCCGGACCTTTTGTCGCATCTGTTTCCGTCAACTCTTCACATATAAAACTCGACAAACAACGAACATGTCCGTCTATCACGTAATTTACCTTCAACCTATTAGTTCTGTACGTAAACGGCTTCCTCTCATCGTCAGAACTGAAGATATCGTCGTTCGGACAACGCAATTTAATAAGGAATTCAATTAAATTGTTAATATCATCCAATTCCTTCGTTTGCTGTTTCAATTTGAACACAACTAATTGGGCGAGACGCGAATGCGCTAAGGAAAAATTGATGTCTTTAAACCTTTCATCGTCCATGTACGTGTATATCGTATGCTGCAAATGCTTCGCCTCAGATTTTAACGATTCCCCTGCGACTTCCGGTTCAGACGAGAGCGAAATTACAAGAGCATCGGCTATTCTTTTCGCGAAGACCTGGCAAGTTCTCTCGATGCAGAGTAACTGACTGACAGTGTGATTTGTTTGTATCGAGTCACCGTTAGCGGTTGGTATTGGCTTGGCACTAGGTTGTCTACATAGTCTTTGTCTTATCGGATCTTTCTTCCTCCAGTCGGGCCTGTCCGTGATTTTACACGTCTTCATGGCTACACAGAGTTCTGATATAGGACTTAGGGCGTCCTGCGTCGGACTGTGGGATAGGTTGCCTAAGCTTATCCTAGATATGTTTAGGTCATCAGAATGTTGCGTTTGGTTTATACTGTCAGTTTGAGCGAAGGAATACGCGGTCTCATATTTAGCCTTCAGATAGTTCTCTAAAAGTGTTTGGCCTTCTGGTGATCGTAAGTCTGTGAATGTGTCGAGGAACGGCCAATACTCTTTCCAACCCACTTTCATTTGCTCCGCTAGATTTCTGTTAAGAGAAATTGTTAAGTTTAACATACGATTTCAATCAAAGTTTAATATGATCGTATCTAAATAGTAAGTTTTTATATTAAAAAATGAAAAATTGACTGACTTAAAAACTGAGCCAAACATATCGTCAATACTTATTCATAAGGTACAAAAAAATAGATAAAAATTTAAGTTTAAAAATGATATCTCTTAAAACATGAATTAAAAAAGGTTACATTGTAGTTTTTATACTTCAGTAGGTATAGTACCTATATGTAAAAAATATATAATATGTAATATACATATTATGTAAAAAGTATTGCAATAGACAATTGGGAATATGTATGTATTTTTTTTAATTTTTTGTACAATAGCTTACATCGTTATAAATTGTAAAAAAAAAAGATCCAGCTCCAAAAAACTATAATTTAGTATACATTTTTTTTAATATATTATACTATATATATATTATACTATACATTTTTTTTAAATATCATACCGTTACGGATACTTTAAACGCCCGCCATTTCGCCCACTTGGCGTGACGTCACAGTGCGATATACACAGACTAATCACGACTCAATTTTTAAGCGACAAAATCGCTAATCGCTCTGTTATGATATACTCTGACGTCACATTCGGTCTGACCAAATGCGTCGCGTTTCAACTACTTTGACTTTCCCACCTACATATATTTGCACTTTTTAATAATTATTTTCTTAATCAAAATGAAATTACATTACATTAAAAAATATTAACATAGGCTTAATTCAAAAGCAATATAATAAAAAAAACACCTCTATTTAAATCACACGCATATTCCTTATTAGCTTGTCACAACTTCCCCGCTCTTTACTTTACGTGTAAGAAATGTCAAATAAACTTACCTCCCGACAGACTCCAACCCCTTACTAAGCTCCCGCAGTCGGAAGGGGGAGGCTCGGGACGCGGCGGGGGAGGGGGAGGGGGGCGCGGGGGAGGGCGCCCGCGGGGGCGTCTTCCACCGCCGGCGGAACACGTCGGCGTCGCGCGCCGGCATGGGGCCCGCGAACGCGCGGATCTCGTAACGCGGAGACAGTGGGTCCCGGTTCAGTTCCTGTGCATCACATTTGTATATGTTATGGTATGTTTTGAAAGTGGTAGATTTAAAACAGTATACAGACTTTAAATTCACTTTGCATGTATTGCTGATATTATCTTTATATTCTTATTTTAATTAAATCGACGTGATTTTGATATGAGGTATATACCTACAGGTGTCCCGTTAATAGAAGGCAAAACGAAAAGTGGGGAGAGATCAGATAGTGCCCTATGAGAAAAGCCAAAAAATTTTAAGTAAAACTTTTACAGTTGGTTTTCAAGATTTTTTAATGTTCATGATTTTATTGTAAATTTATTACCTTATAATTTATGCCATTTTATTGAAATACCGAAAACGTATTTTTTTTTTATTGAATATTATGTCTGACTAGATGTGTAACTGGATTTCTATTGCAGCTTTCCAACAACAGTTTTTTTTTAAATTAAAGTTGCGAATTTCAATGAAACAACATTTTTTATTCAAGTTTAGGTACTGTGATGTTAGCAAAAAGTACTACCTATCCTATCCTTCATGCCCATTGGCTTGAAAAAAAAATAGTGCAATGAATGATGAGTAAAAAAGTAAACGAAGAACAAAATTCAATAAAACAAAAAAAGTTATTGCTATTTCATTGCCGAAGATGATAATTTTTCGATAAAAGTTTTTGGTCTGACTTTTGCAGTACATAAATCTCAAAATATTGTAAAACAGTTTGTGGCCAAATGGAACCAAAACTAACAAAACAAGAGATTCTCCAGCCTCGAGATTATCGAGCTAGAGTCATTCACATACCAGAGGCTCAGCGGGCAAGAAAAGTTGGGCACTAGCACGGCTCGCGTATCGAGCGCACGTACCAGGAGCTCAGTGGGCGTGAAGAGGTGGGCATTAGCACATACGTACCAGGGGCTCGGCGGGCGTGAAGGCGCGGCCGACGGTGGGCGCGGCGCTGCCGTCCTCGCAGTGCAGCACGGGCACGTAGTAGCGCTCGCGCAGCATGGCCGCGATGCGCGCGCTCACCTCGCCGCCGACAGACGGCGCGCGGCTACATATTATCTGTATGTGCGATACAGATTATAAATTATTACATTTGGGTTAACTGCCTCGGTGGTCTAGTGGTTAGCATGCACGATGGCAGATCCGGAGATCCTGGGTTCGAGTCCCAGTTTGGGCCTAATTTAGTTATTGAGTATTTCTATCAAGAAATTTTCAGAAACAGCCCAGAGTTGGGAAGTTAGTGGTGTTTCACCACTGTATATGTGTAAGCACGTAAGACAATCGATTCTACGTCTTAACTCTCAGCCTGAGGGGCGAAATATCGTCCCATCAGACTTTGAGTGAGAATTGCCCCTATGGCTGAAATCCGTCAGGAAGATATTATATAGTTGGAATATTAAAAAAAACATGTTTTTACTAAACTATGATTAATATGATTTATTGCATAAAAGCAGTAATATAGCTGCTAATAATATCTAAGAAGATTAATTTTCAAAAATCGGTTAATAAACTTAAGCGATAAATTTCATACTTATAGACAAACATAAACCCAAAAAGTCGGTCAAAAACGGTTTTTACAGTTCCTTAGCCATAAACTCACATCTTTAGCCATTTCGCCGTGTTTGTTCTTCGCGTCCTTATTGCACTGTGGGAACGATGTGAGGACATCGACCACGTGCTCGGCGCCGAACTTCGCGGCGAAGTGCAGGGGCGTCTCGTTGAGCCCTTTGTCTGGCGTGTTCAGATATCTATCAAGTAGGATTGATGCGAATTCCTGAAAAACATATTTCATTTATATATATATATATATATATATATATATAATTCTATCCATCTAATCATATTACACGGTACGAAATGAAAAACGTTAACAAAAACGATAATATACTATACTAGCAGAGCCCGCGGCGTAGTATAATATACAAATGTCCGCCAACCTGCTCTTGGCCAGTGTGGTGGACTATGGCCTGATCCCCCTCGTATTGAAAGGAAACCCGAGCTCAGCAGTGGCACGTTAAAAAGGGCTGAATACATACAAATGTTATTCTTACCTTGCAAGCGTCTGCATTAGCGTCCATACCATACAATGCTTGAACGAATTCTGGATTGCCCACGGTGTTGAGGAGGATGTTGCAGATTTCAGCATTCATTGACTTTGCCGCTATGTGGAGGGCGTTGTAACGAGCACCTTCCTATTAAACAAAATTTTATATAATTATACACTAAAAAATATTTAAAAAAAAAACTTTAATCTAATCTGTAGTGTTATTGAATTATTATGAATTAATATGGTATTTTTATAAGGAACAAAATACAGGAGGTATTTTAGATATGTCATTCAATATTTTTCAACAATAGATTCACAAAGAAAGCAGTGACAGAATGACAGATACTCGAGAAATACTATGAGGGTTTAGTTTCTTATATTCGATATTCAATCTCAATTAGACATGCCTTTCGCCTTTCCTATATAGAGCTATCATGTCTTACGGCGATGTTGTTTTCGAAGGCTAACGATTCACCTCTAACACCCCTTTATTTAAAAAAGAGGGGTAGGGGTTAATCCCCGTATATATAATATGTATATGCTTCGGTGGCGTAGTGGCTAGCAAGTACGGCTACACATCGAGAGGTCCTGGGTTCAAGTTCCGGGTCGGGCCAAGTTTAGTTATCGAGTCCTTTTGTATAGTAAGCCTAAATAACAGCCCGGCGTTGGGAAGTTAGCGGTGTTTCGCCCCCATGTTTCGGAGAGCGCGTAAAAAGCTGTCGGTCCTGCGCCTTAACTCTCACCGGTCGTATCTCGCGTCGTCCAACCGGAGTATGAGAGTGACAGGAATAGAGAGTGCACTTGTGTCTGCACTATAATATCTCCTGCTCAGATAACTAGTCTCAATGAGACTCGGTCGGGAGGTCATTATATTAATCCGATATCCATTAAGTATAAACATTAAAACCCACCTGTACTATAGCAGGTGTATTCCCACTACTGACTAGATACCGCGGGTTGTCCCACACGCGGTCCAGCACGGTGCTCGCTAAGCCCGCCTCTATCGCTTTTCGTAGAGCTACCATGTCTTGTGGCGACGGTGCTTTGAATGGGTACGGTTTTTCACCCATTAACGCTGTGAAAATATCATTTTTATTTAATTTTAGTTGTCAACATTGATAAACGAAAAATTGAGAATATAAGAAATTATTTATTTATATAAATACTTTCTTATATTTGACATCTATACATGTATAATAAAATTCTAACTGAATCAAATCTATAGGTACATTAAATATTTTTTGGAAAATCTTATTGAAATAGTCATTATTATCGATACAGAGGCCGAATCTATAGTTTTTGGAATTTTTGTTCGTCTGTCTGAGAACGCATCACGAGAAACCCACTGGACAGATTTTGATAAAATTTGGTATAATGATAAATGGTTATTCGGGTCAATCCGCGAAAACATCCGAAAATATAGTACCCTCATAAAACAAGAAATAATGTAAAAAATTTTTTCAAAATAAAAATACTAAACGTGTTAATTTTATTAATAGTTATTAGAAAATTAAAAAATTAAAACGAATGTGTGAATGTACAAATTTTTAGTAACTTTTCGGGATTCAGTTTCTTATAGAATAAGGAAATTTCATACATCTTATAATATTTTATATTGTATTCAATCTACATTTCCTAAATAAAAACAAACTATAAAATAAAACGGACAAGTCTTCTTTAAATGAGTTTTCATTTAAAGAAGACTTCAGGTAATAATAATAATTAATATATGACGTGTTTTATATTCAGGTGTCATTCTGAACTCGAATTAATAGCAATGAGGTCACTCATTCTGCCCCTAATTGGATATCTTTAACTGTCACTACACACGCATGTCTATAATTGTTCGATGCGACCGGCTAAAGTCAACGCTCTTTGAGATATAATTAAACTATGTATTTGCTACTAATTTAGTACTATGTTGTTCTCATGTTAACAGAACAATGATTATATAAATACGTGCACATATTTTTTTCTTCTTATACATATATTTTTATATAAAAAAATAAGAACAACATTAAAAACAAAGTAAGGATAAAAGTTACATTTTGTACTCAAAATATTCAGAAATAAATTCGCTTCTGTAATGTACTTCATTATACTTTTATTAATGTCAAGTTTATATATTTATTTATATTTATATTATTCTAAGCGATTAAATAAAACATACAATCGTCGAAAATGGCTGCATGTTTTTTTGTTATCAATATCCAACCAAGGACCCGGGCGCATAATCTAAACATTTGTTACAGTTCAAATTTTGTAATGACAATATTTTTTCTTTGTTTGTGAAATGCAAAAACATGCTATGTAAAATATAAGTGGTTAACTTTTATGATTTTTTGTAAATAACTACCTATACCTAATATAAACAATTAATCCTAATTAATTTAAAATTTATTTAAATAAAATCGTTTCAGAACTTTTTGCATGAAATGCACACAGATATACAAACATACAAATATTACGATAACTGTTATTTTGGAGCCTATATTGTGTACACAATATTATATAAGTCATTGTTTTTAAAAAAAATATGATATTTGATGTACAGATTTTGCTTTCTTACTATTTCATTATATGTATAGATAAAGAAATTTCATGTAGTTAGCCTTAAAAACATTTTTTTTCAGAAACAAGGACTTCCAAATTTAATACATTTATAATAAAGAAAGTTATCCCTGCCCTTGCCTATAGCCGATAAAACAATTAAAAATAAAGCTTAAGATACTTGGTAATCAGTAACTCTTATGATTACAGAATTTAGGTCAGTTTAAAATTCGCGATAGGAAGATATTGTTCAAAACAAAGGTGTTGACAAAATGACAAAAAAATATACATTGTAGTAAAAATACTGACTAATTTATAAACCATAACATAACATAGTGTTATAAGCCTTTGATTGCACTTGTATAAATCTCTTCTCAAATTTACTAATATGGATCATATCGGCAGAGGATTATTTGTGACTATGTAGCACTAAATTTAACCAGTGATAGATTAAAATTTTTGTAATCCAATTTTTTTATAGTATCAACATAACATATAAAATGACTAGCGACTTACTCGCTTCGCTCTAGTGTGTTCCTAGGTATGTTTTAATTTTTTTGAGCAGAACCCTAATTCTATTTCTTAAATAAAAGTAACCTAAGTTATTCCTTATAACATCAGCTATCTGCCAGTGAGTCAAAATCGATCCAGCCGTTTCGGTGATTAGCCTGAACATACAGACAGACAAAATTTTTAAAAATTGTGGTTTTCTTATAAGTACCATATATAATACCATATGCATTTATTAAAAAGCTGTATGATGTATTTTGACATTACAAACAGACACTATAATTTTATTTATCTGTATAGATTGAAGATACAATATAGAAAACATATACTTAAACTTATTATCACATATCAGTTCTGTCATTCAAAACTCATAAGGAAAATGATATTGAACATTGAACATCCGGCAAAGACATATCTATAATAATGAAAATCTAATCATGACAGATTATTTCACTATTATCTGATAGCATACTATTTCTTTATTTATCAAGTAATACATAAAACAGTTTCTGTGTAGTAATTATCTTAATAGGTCTCTCATATTTTTTTATAAATTACCTATATATTTTTAACAGTTAACATGGAATAAATAGACTATAGAATATATATATACATAGGTATGAGTTGTTGTGTGTTGTATTATTAAGTGTTTTCCATGGAAATGAGATAATCTCCCAGGGTAAAAAGTAGCCTTTGTCACCCTCCGCTAGATCATCTAACTCCACACAAGAAATCACGCCACGACATCCGTCACTGTTTCAACGTGAAAGAAAGGCAAAAAATAAAATAAACAAACAAACACACTTTCAGATTTATGATATTATTACAGTCAAAATCTGTTATAATAAGGGACTACTGTCCCTTCGATGTCATCATATTTGGTTGTAAAAACCGAGAGACATAACAACCAGTGATGTTTGAACGTGTAGGTACATATAAAACCATAGATATTAATTGGAACAATATATTCATGTATAAAATAAAAGTACATTGTGTTTATTTCACATAAAATGTGTAATATAAAGAATATTATCATTTTTCTGTATTCATAAAATCTGTAATTTTACTCTGTTTAGAACACGTTTGTTTCAACATAAAATGCGAATACTATTTGAATATTGATTTCGTGTCATACATATTTTTGGATTTTTTTATACATATAGTTTAATTATGTCAAAGACGATACAGCATTTAGTACAAATAAGAAGTCATAAGTTACTTAAATAAAAATAAAAGTAATTTCATAATTTAGTATTAAATTATTTTTATGAGATATTTATAATTGTAAATCAATATTAGGTATAGCAAAATTATAATGAAAAAAAAATGACTATAGTGTTTAGATATTGTTAGAATAAAAAAATCAACTTACTGTTTCCATTTCCATCATGTATTTCAATAGGTTCTGCACCCCTGAGAGCAAAAGACACAGCATCTTGATGATTCCTGAATGCCTTGAATCTTGCAGATTTGTACCGACGGACTAATTCTAAAGCTTCCAATTTGTTTTCATAAACATGAAGTGCCTCTGTAAAAAATTTTTATGTATTTTTAAAATAAATATGTTCAAACAATAATAATATTATCACAAAATATATTCTTTTGCTCTTTGTATCACTTTTTAAGTAAAAAAAATATTTCTTTATTAAACAAATATATAAATAATAAACTTTAAATATACATAAGAACATCATTGACCTACATATATAAATGAAAACTATTATGATAAGATAAGGACATAATATCTACTTTTACCTACTTTCATCAGGACCTTTTATGATTTCACAAGGGATATAAACTCCATAATAAGTTGTGGGAGGATCTGTAGCAATTGGACTTTCCGGAGTTTGCCTCTTCAGTGAATCGAATCTTAAAAGCCTACTAAACAAGCCCATCATCATCCCATCTTTCTTTTCGTTTGGAGAAATGCAAATCTCCTCTTTCATACCCCCAATATCCTTGTTGCATTCCGGAATAAGCACGGCCTTCGACATTTCGTCTCGTAGCTGAAAATGGTAATAAACAAAAAAATTCTGTTTTGTTTGTGACGCAAACGGTCGCAACGTTTATTTTTACTCCACCTTAATATCTACCTTGAAATAAGCACTGTCATAAACTCATATTCATAACCAAATAGTTGGATTTTTTATATTATTTCACCACATACTGTGAAATTAAATACACAACAAAATAATTGAAATGTTTAAACTGAAAATTGAAATAGTCGAACGATGCGATGACGCAGGTGACGTTATGTTTTGACGTTTATACTAAGTATATGTAATAGCGTATTTATACACAGAAAAAAATAGCTAGTGCTGCTAGACGAAAAAATTGATATTAAAAAGTAGTCATTAATGAGGAAGAATTTTGTCTTTTTCTTCCGCCAGAAGTCACGATCACTATGATCCTCACAATATTGTAAAAATCTAGCGTGAATGATTTTTTTTTTTATTTTATTTCAAATTTAATTAAAATGACAAATTGTGCAGAGATTTCAAAAAAAAAATAAAAATAAATATATGTCTTATTATTTGTCTTAAAGCTAAACACCACTTTCTGTTTATTTCACATTAAGAATGACAGTTTCATACATCGTTTCAGCAGAACCGCTTTCCGAGTCCGATGGTACCTTTCGCACGGACAGGCGTACTGACGATTATAAAAGTACTGAATATAAGAATATATGCAAGGAATATCTTGAAATTTTATTAGTTATCTCCTACACATAATAAATTGCTTAAACTCAGGCTGTATGTAAATAGATGATAAGTGTAGCGCTGTGTTTTCAAGAAATCTTCCCCATACATAATATATTTATAAATAATAAGTTGCATAATACCCCGTACAAGTATTTAATATCTTATAAAATTGTATAAGTATATTTCTATAAAATCATTTTATAGCGATAATTCAGCCTTTATATATGAAAAATAAAAAATAAACACTGTGCCTAGCAGACAAAGTTTATATTATCAAAATTTGACTAAAGTAAGCGTATAAATTAATGTATTATAGCGACGTGCATACTTGACGCTCATCACACACACTTCATGCATGACGCTGCAATATTGATCAAGTCGGCAGAATCGAAATTTATTTGTTGCTTCAAATAGACATGTCGTGCTCACTGATAGCCATACGGCATACACCATCAAGTTTACCAGACGTCACTTCAAGCACGTTGCAAACTTGATGGTAAACTGAATCGTGTATGGTAGCCATAACGGTATATCCCTATTTCCCTTTGTCACGCCATCACGCGTGAACGGCTGGACCGATTTAACTATTTTTTTTGTCGTGTTTATTACTGTCAGAAGGTTCTTAAAAAAGAAAAAATGAAGAATTAACGAAAAAGTAATTAAAATGTATATGGCTAACGCTGGCTAATAACTATTTATATCTATTTAAAACGTACCTAGCGACGAACCCGAGCGAAGCAAGGGTGAGCCGCTAGTATATATATGTATGATGAGTTTTATATCCCTTATTTGAGATTTGAGAAATGGTTGATTCGCCATACAAACTTTCATCCCCCTTAAAACGTTCACAGTCCCTCATACAAGGGTAATTTTTTTCCTGTCAAGTCCACTTGTGTTTTTGTATAATGTATTGTTTAGGTCCTATAATGAAACAAATTCAATATATATTTTTTATTATTTTATGACTTTCTATAAAAAACCAACAAAAAACAACATGACTCTTCATTGAATCGTAAACTTATCAATTTAAAATTTCACGACTCTATATGGTGCCACATGAACGTTTGGCGCTAATTTGAAATTTATGAAGATTTTAACAACATTTTTTGTCTATGGTAACAGTGGTTTGTTAGTTGTTACAAACGTCAAGCAAAAATGAAAAAAGTAAATTCTTGTCAATGTAAAATGTTTATTGTTTTTCACAGTTTTGTAATTTGTTTCTTTTTCAACCGACTTCAAAAAGGAGGAGGTTCTCAATTCGACTGTATTTTTCTAGTTTATGTATATTATATATTGTCATATAATAAAATTGTAATTAAGTCAAATCTGTACATTAAATATTTTTTGGGAAATCTATTTGAAATAGACATTATTATCGATACAGAATTCCGAATTTAGTTTTTAGAATTTTTGTCTTTCTGTTACCGCGTCACAAGAAAACCACTGGACAGATTTTGATGAAATTTGGTATGATGATAGCTGGTTATCCGGGTCATCGAGAAAAATACAAAAACTCCATTGTAAGAGTATACTAATATATAAAACCTAAGAATTTGGTTTTTGGTCATCTGAACGCAGGCGGAGCTGCGGGCAACGCTAGTAACTTATAAATTAGGTCCCTACTTCAAACAACCAAACCTTCTACAAACCAAACAAACCTTCTACCAACAGTATACGTTGCGTTTTTTTGTAATAAAGCCTCAGACCAATAAAAATGTATTATCGATTTCTCAATTTTTAAAATTTTTAAGGGTGTTTTTGCAGGACAACTATAAAATGTTTTATTTTTTCAAAAAGTAGAGTTCAAGACGAAAAGAATGAGCCTTATTTGAAAATTAAACGATTTATTTTTTAAATGTAAACATCTACTTTCAGTTGGGGGTAATTTTCAGCCTCTCGAGACCATAAAACATATTTTTCAAGGAAATGGCTAAACATTTCAATTTTTTTTTTTTTATTTATCATGTATTTCGCAGATTGCATTCCCTTAGATTCATGGAAATCAAAAGATTAATCTAGAAATAAAAAATAAAAAACAAGAATAAGTTAAAAACCGAGTTTTCTGAAAATACCTCTAAAACTTTGAGTTTATTGTGAAAAGTGTTATTTATAAGTTGTAGATTTTTTCTAGACTTACAACTTTTGTAGAAAACATTTTTCGATAGAACGTCATAGTAAGCCGGAAATTGAAAAAAACTATTTTTCAACGCTTTTCGTTACCCAGTTTCTCGGGGGTAGCTGGGTATCGGAGGTATTTTACGAATTTCTATTCCTTATATACCTGCCAAAATTTTAAAATCATAAATCTTCAGGTTTTCAATATATTTTTTTCTCTTAAAAATAAACAGATTCCGATTGGTCTATTACTATAAATTCTTAATCAGATACATATAACTGATATATTTTAAATATAATTTAGGAATCATACCTTGTCATATTTACTTATTAGATAGATATTCATATTGTAAAGCAATAACGGCTGGTACCAACTTCGAAAACATCTGATTAGGTATCTATAGTTAATGAAAGCCCCCATTCAATTACTTTTTATGTCTTAGTGCCTAGAAGTCGGTTTTTATTTATGGTAGTTTCTAATCCATGAGTGGTAATAAGTTGATTATAAGATAAAGTTGAAATAAAAAATGTTATCATGTACATAGATTAATGAAAGTTTATTTTCTTCTTGTTTTTCTTTTTTTTCTTAGATTCTACATTAATTATATTTTCATCAGATACAGAATTTAAAATCTTTTGGATAGATAATGCATACAAATTGGCATTAATATGTTTCATTTTTTCTAATTCTGTCTTTAATTCTAATTCACCTTTTTTATTTTCAAGACTAATTTCCTTTGAAACACTGTTGGTTTCTAAAAAGCTTTCTCCATTAGATAATATCTTTGGCCAAAAGTTGTTCTTTTTATTTATTAACACTTCTATTTCAGCTATATCATCATTATTATTTTCTAAAGTTCTCTCCAAGCTATGAAGAATTATAGTTGGACAAAATTCCTGTTTATAAATTGCTTCATAGTTAACAGAAAAAAATGCATTAGTTATGGCTCCTTTATGTCTTATAAATCTAATTGGTTGCCGGCTGGCAATATGCCATAAAATAACTTGTTCATCATTTGAACCAGACATCAATACTTCACCATTCAGAGAGACTGATAGACATGTAACAGCTTTTGTATGAGAAGAGAAAACATTATGGAGTTCTTCATTATTTATGAGAACATCTCGATTTCTAGGTGGATTTGTGAGGTTAAATTGATAGATCTTTCCTTCGGTCGAACCCACAAATGTATTCAGTTCTAAAACATCCAGCGTTATAGACGAGAGTGGCTCATCAAATACTAAATTTAAAAGCATTTCACCACAAGTCAAATCATAAATTTTACATGATCTATCACTAGAAACTGTAAATAACCTCCCATGAATTCCAGTTTTACTTATACACATATCAGTTACTGACAGGGAATGATCAGAAAATATATAGATTGGGTCATGTTGTCCGGCTGTTGTCTGTGTAACAAGTTCTACTTCAGGATTAGCAGCAACGGTGGCAAGTGACCATACCATGACCATCCCATCTTCAGCAGCCGATAAAAAGAATCTTCCATCACTAGTAAACTTTAACAAATTAACTTTTTGATAATGCCTGTTGATTATTGTTAAGAGACTTCCTGAAGCAATTTGCCAAAGATAGATTTTTTCATCAATTCCTGCTACACAATATGATCCGTCAGGTGCTACTGCAAATGAACTAGCTTTACCAGGCAAAATAAAACGCATGCCTTGTATAGTTTGTTGAGAATTTAAGGGCCATACATGTAAGACTGGCTTAGTCTTTTCCACGGCTGCTAAATACTCGTTCCCAATCAAAGAAAGAGTTCGGTTTTCAGCAGTTCCACCACCTTTATATATCATTAAATTTGTACCGGTGTGGGGATCCCAAATGCTGCATGTCCATAATGTATTATTTGAATCACATGTCACTAATATCTCAAATAAATTTGCCATATTGAATTATTATTAAATTAAACTATAATGTTTAAGTTAAAGACACCATGTGGCATCACAAATTCATAACACGAGTTTTCACTTCTCAGTTTTGGGTTTGGCGTATGAAATCTGTTGACAAAGTTAGACTTTCGAGACAGATAAAAAAATGTTTGTTAAAGTGAGTTTTTTAGATATAAAACTTTATGCTAGTTTTGTATCTAAAAAAATCACATAGGTACCTAAAAAATTTTAAAATTTCATTTATATTATTCATCCATGATTCGTTCCTATAAAATATATTTTTTTCAATAGGTCTTATAGGTAATTTTAGAAACATTGGTGCATTTTGATATATTTTCAAATAAAATTTGTTTTTAACGGTATATCTTAAAATATTTATATGCATAAATCAAAATAACATAATTCAGGTCGAATTATCTGTATATAAATCTACATGTAACACCCTAATTAATTATAATACTAAGTTATGTAAAAACTGTATTTTTTAAAGTACCTAGATAACTGCTTCGTAAAATAAGATTTAAAGAAAAAAATCATTACTTATCTATGGACGGCTGTTATTGACTGATATTTTAACAAATAACAAGAAAGTTGGAGCCTATGCCGGATTGGTTGAAATACGGACTTGGTATATTTTGACAGTTGTGATCAAACTTTAGGACTCTGCGATTTTTAGCAACAGAAAAATTCATTAAGTGACAAACTGTATATTAGAACCTTTCATCATGTTTAAAAAGTAAGTACGAATGTTTTCATGAAAATTATAGTATTCTTGACTATTTATAAAGATATTCTATATAACTTTTAGGTTATACGGCTTTAGTCTTTGTCAAATAAATTATTGACGTAATATTTATTGACCAATCAGGGCGAAGTTCCGGTGTGACGGGAGTCGTGACGTTGTATTTATGTGTAGTGATGTGAATACTAATTGAATAATAAAAAGAGATAGCATTTTTCGATAATGTTTTATATACATATAAATAATAATAAAAATATAGTTTACCAATATTTATAATGACGAATCAAAAGAAAATCCTTCCCATATACATACAGGATATCCTTATTATTCTTAGTTTAGAATTATTTATTTGTACTTAAAATGATTAATCACAGTAAAAACAATTTATATTTTCTTATTGAAGAAAACTTATAATTTCTCTAAACTTAAATGATTAATTAGGTTAGTAAATAATAATATACATAAGCGATTTTAATATTATAGTAGACTATTTAAATTATCGATAATACTAAGACATCACTAAGTCATGATATAATAATTTTGTCTTTCGCAAGAAATACACGCTTTCGAATCGGCGTGAGCGAGATAGACATATTTAGAAAATGAACATGGAGAATGGTTTCCTCCGATCCGACGACCGACAGTTCTTTGCAGCTGTTCTAAATTGATTGTTGTTCGGACGATGGCCGATGCATCGCAACGTTTTTAGACTTTGTCTTTTTTAATTCGGTTTTATAGAAAAAAACAGGACTTTAAATATTTCTAGCTAGAACAATAACAACCGTGAACAAAGGTTTATTGTGCATCGTGTTTTGTGCTTCCATTTCGTGACGTAACTGGAGTTCTAGTGAAACGAGAGTAACTCTCAGTCTGTAGACGAAGGCCGTTTTTCTCGGATGGTTATTCGTTTCGTATAGTTGCGTAACGGTAATTACACAAAATGTGGGAAGTTGACTCTGACACAGGGTCCCAAAGTGCGTCGTCGGACGGGATTCGACGACGGCAAGGATGGGACCCAGAGGCCGAGAGTTTGGCTTCTCAAATCGATGAACTCGACGAAGTTCTTGCAGAAGAAGAAGAGGGATGTCCATTACCTTCCACACCGGAGGATCAACATTTACTTGATGCTGAAATGGCTGAAGTACTAAAAGCTGGCGTGCTCTCCGACGAAATAGATCTGGGCGCTTTAGCACACAATGCTGCAGAACAAGCTGAGGAATTTGTGCGAAAAGTCTGGGAAGCATCCTGGAACGTTTGTCACTTCAGACATCTGCCGCGTTGGCTTCAAGACAACGATTATTTACATAAGGGCCACAGACCTCCTCTTCCATCGTTCAGCGCTTGCTTTGCTTCTATCTTTCGCATCCATACAGAAACTGGTAACATATGGACCCATTTGCTTGGATGCGTCGCATTTATCGGCGTCGCTATTTATTTCTTAACTCGCCCATCTATTGAAATACAAATGCAAGAAAAAATGATATTCGGAGTGTTTTTCATTGGCGCTATAGTATGTCTCGGATTTTCATTTGCCTATCATACATTGTACTGTCACTCTGAAATGGTGGGTAAACTATTTTCAAAGCTGGATTACTGCGGCATAGCTCTACTTATTATGGGGTCATTTGTTCCTTGGCTGTATTACAGTTTTTACTGCCACTATAGACCAAAAATAATTTACTTATCTGTAGTGGTTGTGTTAGGAATATTATCAATAATAGTGTCACTTTGGGATAGATTCTCAGAGTCTCACCTCCGTCCACTGCGAGCCGGGGTGTTCATGGGATTCGGTTTGTCTGGAGTAGTGCCCGCTATACATTATGGTATTACAGAAGGTTGGTTCAGTCAAGTCAGTATGACATCTCTCTTTTGGCTGGTACTGATGGGTCTGCTATACATATTGGGGGCTATGTTTTATGCTTTGCGAGTGCCAGAACGCTGGTTCCCTGGAAAGTGTGATATTTGGTTTCAGTCCCACCAAATATTCCATGTTCTTGTTATTGTGGCAGCGTTTGTCCACTATCATGGTATTAGTGAACTAGCATCATACCGAGTGACTGTTGGGGAATGCTCTATGCCTCCCTCATCCATTGCATTCTAGCCTCGCCCCCTATCAAATGTGATAGTAGACCTTAGATAATTTTAAGTAGGATATAAACATTTAATAGTTTCATTGTATATTTTTTTAACAAGTACCTAAATCTAACACAATTTTCTAAGTTTTTTTACAAAACCAGTATGTTGGTTTATTGCAGTGAGGCTGTTAATATATTTGCAACTAATAAAATTAGAAAATGTTTATGAATGGGAGTTTGGATAAGAAGGCATTATATTTAATACTTTCCTCTATTTATTTTAGTTTCTTTAGTTAATATTATTAGATAAATTCTGTAATGTCTCAGTCTAATATTGAAATTTTCCATCAAAAACAAATCGAAATTCGTTTTTATAAAACTGCAGTGTATACCTTTGTTATATTTCTGGAAACTTACTTTTTAGAATGTACTTAATTTGCATAAGCTTATCTGTACCTATTTATTGTATGTCAACATTGAACAGTAAGTTTGTTCTTTTCTAACTTAATTGACAACTTTACATAATTTTATTCAGATTGTTGATTTATATTTTGTTTACTCATATTATAATATAAACAATATTTTATTTTATTGAATCTCATATTCCATTAGCTTTTTATAAAAAAATATATGACATATTCCAAATACAATTGTGAATACTGGTTAAAACAATTGTAAACACATTCAAATAGATCATTAATACATTCCAAGTGAGATAAACAATGATTTTTTTTATTTATTTATTAAAGTTCAAATCTGTTATTTAAAGCATAATTTGTAAAATAAGTAACAACTGGATTAAAACACAATGTAACGTGGTATGCATTAGATATAATAAAAAGTATATTCTAAATTGTTATAAGTGTTCATAAATATAAATATTTTATGAGATTGAAAATGAAAAAAATAATATTTGTAAATAAAAATCTGAGCTCTGAACTCTATAAGTACATACACTATTTTAAGACATTGGCAAATACAAAATTAGCATTAGGGATATGTATAAGTAATTAAAGAAATTATTTTAAGTGCCCTGGCTTTTGTAATCTTGCACCTCCACTTATATTTTGAGTTTATTCTTCAGATTTATAATGCATACAAGTTTGGCATATCAATGTTAGAAAAAATCAGAGAAGATTATATCAAAACTGAGTCATAAATGACGAGAAGAAAGACAATATTTTTTGTAGACCTATTTAAATAAAATCCAATTTGCGTGAAGTACTATATATGAGATATGTTTGTTTTGGAAAAGAAGCAAATCACTTTGTTAGATCTAAATGTAGTGTATCACTTGATTTTTAGAACATTACGCTTTCTCTTTAATTTTTGTTAAATACTTCTTTGTTTGATGGGATTATGATTATTGCAATAAAGAATAAATTCTATAGAAAAAGTTTTATTTCATCACTTTCTTCAATTCCTACAGTATTGACTTAGTTACTTAGATGATGCAAAAATACAATTTATCAAATATACAAATAATACTATTTATTATTCTTTATTCTAATTTATAGAGTTAGAACAATAGAATATTTAACTCATTTTTGCAATCCTTTAACTTTCAAACTTATTTAAATGTACCTTTCTAAATGAAATAAGGCAGCACTCCGAGTTTGTCTTTCGAACCTTAGCAAAGTTTGCCGTGCAACTTTTACTTACATGAGTCGACGATCTGCGAAGTTGCATTTAACCTTAAAGGTCATTTAATTACTGGGTAGTATTGAATTATATTGGTTTTATTACTTGCCTCGGTATCCTTAATAATGATATAACTATATTTATTTATAATAGAAAACTTAGAAAAACATAATTGCAGACTGCGTTTAGGCACGGTAATATTACATATTACATTACCGTGGTTTAGGTGTCACTGACCGCAATATTAGACTTGCGAAGTAACGGACTCTGTCAACAATCAAAGTACACCACGTAAATTCAGTCTAAATATAAAAAAAAATAATGCTTGGTAACTTGATGGTAAAAAATGTTATAAAACCTATTAGGTATTTCTTGCAGAATACTTTCGTCATTAATATTTAAATTCATTGAACAAGATTAAAGATATTTAAATTTTATGCATACTGCATAACATAAAAATCTATGCAATATTATTATTATTTTTTTAATAGGAAGTCGAATTTATATTATACTAGCGGCTCACTCTCGCTTCTCTCTAAACAAAAACAAATGTATCCCTTGGGAACCGTATATATTTCCGTGATAAAAAGTAGCTGTGTTATTCCAGACTATAATCTATCTCTGTAGCAAATTTCATCCAAATGCGTTTAGCGTTCTGGTGTGAAAGAGTAACAAACATCCATGCATACTCGGAAACTTTCATATTTATAATATTAACTAGCATTGCCCGCGGCTCCGCCCGCGTTCAGATGACCAAAAGCCAAATTCTTAGGTTTTACATATTAGTATACTCTTACATTGCAGTTTTTGTATTTTTTTCTCAGAAACGAGATATTTTCCCGCGGTAAAAAATATTCTATATGTTGACCCGGATAACCAGCTGTCACCATAGCAAATTTCATCAAAATCCCTCCAGTGGTGTTTCAGTAATGCGGTAACAGACATACAGACAAAAATTCTAAAAAACTGTAGATTCGGCCTCTGTATCGATAATAATGTTTATTTCAATAAGATTTTCCAAAAAATATTTAATGTACAGATTCGACTTAGTTACGATTTTATTATATGTATAGATAATAATATGGATCATCACTTGCATAGTTAAAATTTATTTTACTTTTTAGCACAAATAGCTGAAATATCATTGTTAGTACTTCGAAATAAACTCTTTTTTTGTAATTTTTTTGATAATAATAAGAAAAGTGACTGTTTACAAGACGTTCCCCCGTCCTCGATCGTAATGGAATCTATCGATCGTTGTGACCTTGCCATCCAGGAAGGTGAAATGAAGGTGAACTGAGCATACGGATTAATATCTTACCATAATATCACCATGAAAACAGATATAATTATTATAGGAATCGAAGTCTGTTTGTAATTTTAGTGCAAAATTTAATGTTGAAAATGGAAGGTTAATGAGAGTAGGTAGGTATATACATTTTACAATGTGTAAGTACCTGCTGTTCAAAGTAAAAGAATAAAATAAACAAAGTGTACAGAAAACAGTAAGTCTAAGTAATTTAAATATTATTTATACCATAAACTGCCCGCAGATACCTTTGCTATAAGAAACAAAATAGGTCGACAAACTAATTATTCTTCATATATATCGACTCTTATAGTAGTACAATTTATACTTTTCACTTCAATCAATTTTTACTTAAATCTTATATAGAAATTAACATTAGCAGGTATAAGAACCAATTATGAAGTACTAGCAGAACCCACTCGCGCTAACACTGTAAAAAATCTCTAAAAAGGTAGTTTCATACAAACTTTCATCGCCTATTTAACCCCCTTATAAGATGAATTTCGAAAAATGCTAAAACACGTATTTATTTAATTTTATTGAAGAACACTTATACCAAGTTTCAAGTAAGTCTGATTGTAAATACTTTTTTGGATTGTATTATAACGTTTTTTCCCGTGGGAATTACTCGTAGATAATATGCCACGGTAAAAAGTAGCCTATGTCACTCTCCAGCCCTTCAACTATCTTCACACAAAAAATCACGCCAATCCGTCACTCCGTTTCGCCGTGAAAGAAGGACAAACAAACAAACACACTTACATTTATAATATTAGTATGGATTTCAATTATTTTTTAGAAAAACCTACAAGCCCATATTGTTAAATATTCCCACGATGATGAATGGTCAATTGATATTCGATAAATATATTTTTTATTAGAGCAGCGGCAGATATTCTGACCACAACACAATAATGGTTTGCGTACATTGTGTTAGTTCTCGTGCGTAGGTATGTTGTTTTCGTTTTCTTGTTGTTCATCATCTGTAAGAAATTGGAGATGTACTTATATAATCTATCCCACGAGAATAAAGTGATACTAGGAATTGTTTTAAAGTAGCCTATATTATGTCAATTTAATACATAACTAGTACTACTTAGGAATATGCAAAAAATAACATTTATTTTTAATGCGTGATAGTATAAACACTCTTTCGCATCAATAAAGGAATTCGATGTTTGTTGCTTTTTATTATCAATTTATATGAAATTATTTAATTTATATTTAAAACTAAAAATTAATTCCAAGAGGTATCTAAATACATAATATGTATTATTAATTATTATATACAAATTATACGATATATATTAACATGAAACTTACGAATAATTATTAATTCAATTATATACTTAATCTATACTTATTATAAAAATAAGTCCCCCGGCCGCGTCTTTCTGTCCTCCTGTCTGTCTGTACGCGATAAACTCGAAAACTACTGAACGGATTTTTATACGGTTTTCAACAATAGAAAGAGTAATTCTTGAGGAAGGTTTAGGTATATAATTTATTATGCTTTTATGTAAATTAGCTGAAATACGGCGACAAATGTTGAAGAGGTCGCAAAAAATCTCGCCAAATGGGAACTTTCCACGCGAACGCCGCGTAAACTAGCAAAGATACAGTTAAGTAATGTACTAGAGAATTCAAAATCTATAAAAATGCTACAAAAAAGTCCGCGATAGCATATCTCTATCTCTTACGGTTGACTTACAATAACCACTTTTATGTTAACATTTTTAATTAAAAACATTACGTTATTTTCAAAGTTATTTTCTTTAGTTCGGTATTAATCCTTATCCAAATGAATATTTTAGTTAGCTTAGTCATTTAATGCAGATTAAAATTGCTCTTTACACTAAATCAATCAGATGAATAGTTTTTGAGATATCGTTGTTAGAAGTAATTAGTAGCGAAACATTTTTAATGCTTGGCGAGCATTGAGATGCCTACGGCGAGTCCATCCCCTCTGCCCCGCATCGCTCGACCGCCTGCTCAAGCTATATAAACCGGGCGATGTAGCGCGCGATCCTAGGATACTTTTTACCGCGGGAAAATATCTCATTTTTGAGATAA